TGTTTTCCACCATTAGTACAGGGACCTCTGCTCTTTGTGATGATGAAGAAAGGACGGGCACCTTTAATGAACCAAAGGTGTCTGTAAAGGAAAGGCATAAAAGATTAATCCAATGAAGTCAACTGAAATTAAATGTTTCCTCTGTTGGGTTTCTGCCCAAAGCACATAACAGAGCACTTAGTGCTGCTGAAACTAAAAGGCACTTTGCATGTTTGGGGTTGTGGGAGAGATGCTTGTGGTACAGTCCTCCTGGGACAGATTGTCCTTTCAGAATGAAGGCGCATGAATCCTGGGGCTGGCTGAGACAAGAGCCATACTTTCTCATGAGCACATCGAGAAGCCAAGGCTGAGTTGCAGGTAAGAATATTGATGAGGTCCCTGCTAGATGGAGGATTCCCCCTCTAAGTCCCCTTCTTAGCCATATCCTGACCTTCCACTCTTTTTTCACAAGAGCCCACTGAATTGGTCAATTGACTGTGTCTCCATTCAGCTGTTTAGGTTGCTGGCAGACCATCTGGGAAGTTGGTTAGACAGATGTCGGTCTCACTGGACCAATGGCCAACACATGAGTGGGCAACATACTCACAGAATTATAGAACGAGAAGGGCCATTTAGGCCACCAATTCCAATCCCCTACTTGGCGCATATGTAGGAGAATTAATGTACCAAACAGACTCCTGTTTTCTTGACTTCTTCTCTATACTTGCTCTTTATATTTGGGTCAGTACAGATGTGATTTTGCTGATGGGAAATGTGATCTTACGCTTAACACTGTTACTTTGCTCATACACTATATTTTAAACATATATTAACAACAAGCAAGCTTATTCTAAACACCATTAAAAAGTGATTCCTTGATCAGAGAATAGTATTGCTGGGATGGGCAGAGGGCCGTTGGGTCTGACTCCCCTGCTCAGTGCAGGACTCCAAGTTAAACCATCCCTTGCAAATGTCTCCCCAGTTGCATCTTGAGTGTCTCTCGTGTGGAAGAGCCCACAACCTCCCTAGGTCATGGGTTCCATTGTTGTACTGCTCGAACAGTCAGGAAATTTTTCCTGCTACCTAGACAAAATCTGGCTTCCTGTAACTTGAGCCCATTATTCCATGTACTGCATTCTGGGATGATCAACAAAGATCCTGGCCTTCCTCTGTATGACAACCTTTCAGATATTTGAAGGATGCTATCATATCTGCACTCAGTCTTCCCAAAGCTAAACTTGCCCAGTTCTTTCAATCTTTCCTCACAGAGCTTTCCAGTTACCTGGACAATCCTCATCGTCCTCCTCTGAATCCTTTCCAGTTTGCCTGAATCTTTCTGAATCTTTTCTGTGGTGCCCAGAACTTCAAATGAGGCCTAACTAGTGCTGAGTAGAAGGGAACTATATTTGCTGATGACATTAAACAGGGGGGGAAACAAGAGAGAGCACCACACTTATGTTGTGAGGAGCCCTGCTTCTCAGGATCTTCCTGGGAAGATTAACAGGTTTATACCTGAGCATGATCTCTGATGCTTACTGTACGCTGAGTTGCTACTGTACTCTTTTAACCCTGCTCCTTCATATTTATTCATATTGGACGGCCTTTTGTGTTGACTTGTACAGACATGTCCCAGTTTGTTCTTTTTGGTTTTGACCTGACTGGGACATGAACCTTTTTGTGCAAGAATGGTTTTTTGTGATGCTCTCTTTTCCTAAGCTCAGACTTCCTGCCAGTAATCAGTCAAAAGCAAACTTTGGTTCAGACAGCCATTTTAGCTATGCCTGAATGGATAATTTCCTTAAGAATGCCTGCACAGGAATGCAATTTAAATCATCTCTGACCCTGGCAGATGGCTGACCACTCTCCTCTTGAATGCCTCCAGTGAAGGAGAGCACACCCCCTCCATAAGAGATTTCATTGCCTCACCGCTTTCCTGATCTCCAACCAAACCTTGACTTCTTGTAACTTAAGCCCATTGTTTCATGTCCTACACCCTTGGATGACAGAAGGTGGGCCTCTTCTGACAGTCCTTTCACTCCTTAAGAAGTACTATCATATCCATCTTCTTCTTACAGGCAAACGTACCTAGTTCCTTCCATCTTTCCTCATATGACTTAGTGTCTGGTCTCCTAGTCATCTTTGAACTCGCTCTAGCTTGTCTGAACCCTTCTCAAACTGTGGTGTCTGGAACACAGCTAAGATGTCCATTTCCATTCTGCACTCTGATGACTCCTTTTGTCTTCTCCTGGCCTCTCTTTAAAGCCCCATCTGCCACAGCCAAAATATAGCATGGCCAAAGAGAACTGAGAGCAGCTGTTCCAGGGTCTAGCAAGCTCTGGCTTGGAAAGAATTTCATGCACTAGCACCCAGAATTTACCTGGCCACCTGGAAATTCTGCACTCCAAAGAGCAGAGCAGAACAGGAATTCAATAAGCACACTGGTTTGACTGAATCAGAGTATGGGCTGGATCCCAAGAACTGCACAAGGAGTTCCGTATGACCAGAGAGTTTGGGATGTGTGCCTTTCAAGCTTCAGCACCTCATGTTAGGTGGCAAAACTTTGCCAAACAGAAACTTGATTCTCTGAAGCTTCTGGCCTCAGCTTGCCTCCTCAGTCCAACATGTTCCTTAGATAACATACCTCTTCTTGCATTTGGGCCACCAACTTCATTCTCCTCCTGTGTTTATGGACCTGAGATCATCACATGAACGGGAGCTTCCCAGTGCAGCCCGGAAGTCTTCCCTAAGCCTGTCTATTTTTCAGAATCTGGGCTGCTCTGGGGCTCCATTCAGTGGCCATGACCAGGGTGCCCACTTCAGTGTTTGCAAGATGGGTCCCAGGCCCTGCTTGAGCTCTCAGCCTCTTGATAAGTGCCAGCTGGGAGCCCTGGGGAAGAACTATATGAAAGCAAGCTCCTCTCTTTAGGACTTGTTTCAGCAACACAGGTTTTCCAGTTTAGTGCCAGCCTCTTGCCTGACCCAGATCCTGCCTTGCTGTCTGACTCAGCAAGGCAGGTCTTCCTGCAATCTGCGGTGTGGTTCAGCTCCAGCACCTTGCCTGACCCTTGTAGCATCTGGTTTCTGCCTTGCCTCAGCAGTGCAGGGCTTCCTGTGAGCTGTGGTCTGGTCCAACTCTTGCTCCTTGCCTGATCTGGTTCCTGCCCTTGTTGCAGCCTGGCTTTTTGTATCCCCTCCTCAGTGCAGGTCTTCCTGTAGCATCATCCAGCTCCTACATCTTGCTTGACATTTACTGGATTTCATTCCTGCCTTGGTGTATTTTGCCATGCCTTGCTGTATCCTACCATGCCTCATCCAACCTCACCACCTTGCTGCCTAGCCTTGCTTGCCACTCCTTCTCTGCTCCTGAATTCTGCCTGATTAGCCTGCCTCAAGGAACCGGCACCTGCTCTGGCTGTTTTCCTGGTTCTTGACCTTTGGCTTGTTCCTGATTGCATCCTTGTCCTGATACGTACTTGTGGTTCCTGGCCTGGGCCTGTTCTGTGACTACAGAACCTTGGGTTCCTTGCACTGGTCCTGGTACCTCTGTCTTGTCTCCTGCTGCCCACACTCTGGACTGTGACCCTACTGTGAGCTTGTCTCCTCCCATGACTCAGTGTCAGAACAATATGTGCTGCTGTTAGGTTAATGGTTCGTTAATGCACTGCAGCTTGGATGGAGATCCTGGACATGCCAGTGACTAAGTGGCTGGGAACCCTGCCTGCCTCCCTCACTGGGAATTCCTTTCCTTTGTACATGACTTTCCATACCAAAGCCCAATGAACTGGAAAAGACAGGCAGCTCTAAAAATAGACACCCTCCTGTGAGGAAAATGTTCACAAATAGGGGGCACAGAACAGCTCCTGGATTCTATAACCAAGCAAAGTCTTTTGAGGTGTTTCTGTTATTTTCCTTTAAAACATCTTTAGGATTCAGTCATGCTGCCCCTGCTCCCAAGGGTGAGTTGTGGTGGGAAATGAAGCATAAAACTACAGCCACTGCAGAAGGGAAAACAGTAGCAGGAATGAGGAGCAGACAACTTTCTAGAGGAGGTTCTGTCTTGAGCAAAGGAGTTGTCCACACTCCCATCCCATGAATGCCACTGTGCATGTTTGCCAGAAAGGGGAATGTTGTTCTTCAGGTGTCTCTGGGTGCCCAGGCCAGAGTTTGCACTGTTAGTAACATGAGTACAGAATGCAAGAAGCTTCAAGCTCTGGGACACCGTTCTGTTTTGGACATTGGTTGCTCTGGACCTCAGGTTCTAAATAGCTCTCCTGAGTCCGGGACCCCCCTGTGACGATCTTAGAGTATTGCTCACTCTGCCTTGCAAAAGGATCACTTTAGTTCATAATCAAGGACTATCTTACTGTTACTGAAGAACAGGCATGGATTCCAGAGACAGGAACACGCGAGGTTTGCTGCGTCCTCCACCTTTAGCAGCAGCCTGGCATGCAGCACTCAAGCAAGAACAAAGCTCATCCCATCAGTTCATCTCCATGTCAAAAATCTCAGTGGAAAAGCTTCATCTGTTTAAATTTTAGTATGTAAAGCTGCCATTGAAGGCATAGAAGAAATCCCTTAAAAATGTGGCAAGTCTTGTGCAGCCTGGACTCACCTCTAGTCACTGCTGACTCCTAAATTTCTGTAGCACATCATGGGCAGACCCTGCACAGGGTTGAAAGGGAAATGATAGGTCTACCCCAGCAATAATTTTAGCTGCCTCCGACAAATCAAGGCAAAGTGACTGATTCTGATGAGGTGACAAATCAGCTGTGGATTTCCACCTGACCTTCCGTAATATATTACTCAAACGTTGTCTCTAGCTATTAAAATGAATTATGGGCTGTGTCCAAGTTCATGGCTCGAATGCTCCATTTCTTCCATTCTTGTCCATTAACCCCTATTTCATCACAAGTCTCTGAGCTTCTTTCTTGTCTAGGGCTTTTTATGTTCCTGATCTCTTCTTCTCCACAGGAAAGCAAAATCAAAACAAATCAAAAACAAAACCCAGCATCACACCATAATTAAAGAAACATATTTATTGAGCAGGTTTAAGTACAAAAATGCACCCTGCATTGGGTGTCTTGTGTACATGCAAATCTTGTAAACAAGAATTTGATTGCTTTTATGAAGATTTGTATTTAGATTTCCCGTGAGAAGGGACAAGTCGGAATGCACAGGGCTCCCCTTTCCATTTTGATGATGACAGGTGTTTGGGCCACACTCCACAGACAATGGACAATTGACCCAGTCTGAAGTTCTCCAGTGCTTGGGCACATGGGCTTTCCTCCACAGTGCTGGGGACCCTGCCCGAGCAAGGTACCCATCCCTGTTAGAAAATCCACACATTCACGTATAAAAAGTCTGGGGGGTTGGATTGATCAGACATTGACTGGGGAATGTGGCTTGCACCACAGTGGCACAGAAAGGATATGATTAGTCCCATATATTGCCGCTTGCCCCTTCCCACATTCAGTACCCATAGATATGAAACCTGCAACCTGAATAGGATTATGGTCTCCTTGAAATTTAGAGCTTTTCTTCCCTCCGGTTGGAGGTGACAGCCCAAGAATCTAGTCCTTGCTCATTCACAAGCAGATCCTATGCATGTTCAATGAGACTTACTTCCAGGTGAATGCATACAAAAGGTGTATTTTTCTACCAGAGAAGCATGGCTGTCCCATACTGGGCAGAGGGTCCTTTGGTGGTGCCCATACCATATTGGTGGGCTTCCAGCCATGGACTTATCTTATGACTATAAGCCATAGTAGGCTATAAGCCACATGTAAAGGTCATGTGGTTCCCTGGTTTGGGGCATTGAGAGACATCAAAAATGGCAGCCTGAAGACATAGCTGCCTAGTGCAAGGGCCTAAGGCACTGAGTGGAGATGCCAAGACTGGTCCCATATCTAACTGCTCTTCAACCTTTTTGTCCTTTCCATTGTTGGGACAGGACATGTGGTCTAATCTTTGCATATTAACAGGCTTCTCTCATATCTATATGATAATTACCAAAGCAGCTAACTGGCCAGAACAGTTGGCCTGATCTTTAATAAGGCTGTTCCTTGCAGCAGCTGGTCTTGGGACTCACGAGACGGAAGATGGCTTTGCATGCCCAGGACGTGTTGTGACATCTAAGTGGTAATGCAGCTATTGGGAGCAGTGACCATGATGCACCCTGTTCAACCAAGCTGTCTGTGGAACATTTTAGAAGTCATCTAACACATGATGCTCAAGGAAAACATCAACTCAGTGTGCCAGGAGTGCTTGTTGGGTAAAGAACATGGCTGCAGTGATAATGTATTCTTGCTTGGAAATAAATCCCATTGGTCGGGGGGCAGACTCTCCTGAGAAGGTATGCAAAGAATTGTGACGTAAATTTGTGCCACAGTATTAATGGTCTTGTACAAACAAGAATCCTGAGGCATGTTAAATAAGAACAAGTGCCACACACCTCTTTGTTTTCACAAGCCCACTTGTTTTTCTGCTGCAAAAACAAAAAAACTTGTAACATGGCTACAAGTTCTCTGAAAACACTGATGGTGCAAGAGGAGTTTCCTTTTGGTGTCAAGGTCATCACAGCCTCCTCCAACCTAATACCCTCCAGATACAATTCCATAATTATAGGGGTTTCAGTCCGACACATCTGGAGGGCAACAGGTTGGGAAAGGTGAGGGTACCAAATGGACCTTGCAAAGGAGTGAACCGAGGCACAAGAAACAAAAGGCAAAACAGTCTCCCCACACCATATTCATTCTTCCAGCCTGACATGTATTTCATTTGCACCCATGACTTCCATGTCATTAACCACACATAAGCCTTTCACAGCACCATTGTTAAGCTACTGTCTGGTGAGACGTCAACTGTGGCATCTGCTGCCTGGTCCTGCTGCAAGCTAACCAAGTTTTGGCATTTCATTTAGGGCAGTTCCATTTGATTTGCATTTCTCAAGTTTTCCAACAATCCAAGGATGTCACATGGAGCTGCACCAAGTGAGGTATATTTGAGCTGAAGCACTGTCAGCTTTTTTTCCTTAGTGTCTTCTCAAAGGAAAAAAGATCTTAAGTGGCTTTGACGTGTTCTTTTTCTGACAAACTCTTCTTGCTTCCAATTGATCACCTGCTTTTCCTTCAGGCCCTCATGTAATGGGAGAGGCTGAGTGATCAGCTCTGATTTTAAAGTCCAAACAGGGAATTGTCATCAGGTTTCTTTTAATGCACCCGTAGCAGATCTATGTAAACTTCTTAGCAAGTAAAAAAAAGTAACCCACCAAATTTGCCAAAGAAGCACACATCCTGAGATTAGACTATGCAAATTTGGCTGAGCTAGCCCTTTTTGTATAATTTGTAGAGTTTGCAAGAGTCAGGTTTTCAAAGAATTTGAAATATTTCACCAAGGAGGGGAGGTGGCAGGCAATGAATGAATGGGGACTTAGAGTGAGCAGCGTTGAGACTATCTTTTCCAGAAAAACTCTTCTTGCTGCTGATTTATTTCTAATAAAAAGAGCAGGGTATATTTCAGTGGTGGCATACAAGCATGGTACACTGAAGGCCACTAGTTCAGTCCCTGCCACTGCTAGTTTAAAGGATTTCAGGTAGTCCCTGAGGTATGGCCCCTCACATACAATTTTTCACTTCCACAATAGCTGTTCTACTGATGTGAAAACAACTGGAGTTTTTTGTGGAGATACTTTTTTCCCAAGCTGGTTTCTTCTTCTGCAACTACTGCAGGAGGCAATATGAACAGCTGTTTTGGCATCCATTTTATATCCTCCACAATGTCTTTATGAGTGCAGGGGTGGGGGATGAATGACAACCACCTTGTAGAAAAAAATAAGGTGGAGAATATTTGGAGAAAATTCTGCCAAGTGGCTTTCTTTTTCTAGGTGGGGGTAAAAAAGAAAAATCTGAGACATGTCCTCAGAAATGCATCTTCTGAGTACTTTTGGCTCAGCTCTAAAACAATGGCTCCCCTCTGATGTATACAATCAGCTGCTAGGAAAGTGCAAAGGATAGAAGATGCTGCCGTCTTCAGTGACCCCGTATCTGGCAAGTAGTGGAACTCTGAAGTCCGGGTAGCACCTCAACTCAGGTGTAAACGGACGCCACCAGAAATAAGGAAGGACCTTTTTCCAGAAGATGCCTGCTGAGCTCTAGAAGTAGGTTTCCTTCTCTGTCATGATGAGCAACTCCTTTTTTGGACATTGGTCTCCTGGCTTGCAGATCTCCTGCTGTCCAGAGAAGTCAGTCAGGTGCTTCTTTGGCTGGGGCAAGTCATCTGCAGCAGCAGTGAGCTGACGTAACCGCTGAAGAAAAACAAGCAAGGGAGCAGACATCGTCTCTGTTAATTAAGCTGATAGATAAGTTGACACCCAATAGCATTCTGCATCAATTGCTGTGGGCAAAAGCACTGTAAGAGCTAATCCATTCCACTTCCTAATGCATACTTATTGGAATGCCCTTCTAAAAAAGAAGGAAACTGTTTAACATTCTAGTCCACTTTGCCTTTGAGCTCACTTTTTGTTGGCATTATCTCAGTGCACAAAACATCCAGCGGTACTTACAAATGAGTCGACAGATTCAGTGACTGCAAAATTGTGAGATTAGGAAAAACAGGAAAAGATCCTGTGGCACCTTGAATTCTAACACTTTGATTGTGTTATGAGGTCTCACAGGGAAATGCCTCATGTGTGCATAGTCATGTGATCACTGCTTCCATAAGTTCTGCAATAATCAAAAAATCTCTCCACACTCGCATTGAATGGGCAAAGGCATGTTTAGATTGCAGCAGCTGACAGTCCACACTGCCAGTAGCCATAAATAACAGTTCCTTGGAGCAGCTGGTCACGGCATCAACTCAGAGGGAGGAGATCTTGCCCCAATCCTGAGTGGTATCCAGCCGGCCTTTGGAAATAGTCTGGACCTTTCAAACTGCTGGACAAACTCTGTTGTCCATTGTTTATACTATTTCTATTGCTTCTTTATTTGGAAGCAGAATAGCTGATTTAATTATATTTTTAACTTGTGCATATTTGTATTGTTTTAATTGTCTAAGTTTTTAATGTTTTAAGCTGCTTTGAATCTAAGTACTGGAAACAGATGGAATATGAATAAATATCAGCAACAACAACAACTTGAGAATCATTGTGCAGCCACATCTGAAATACTGTGTGAAGCTTTGCATTCTCAAACCAAATGCCAGTGATTGTATAGCACAGTTGCGGTGCACTTCTGTGGCCTCCCAGTATTGTATGGGCGCCCACAAAATTGCACACAGTCTCAACTCTGAGGTCCTGCAGTCCTGTAGCTGTGACTCTGAAGGCCGAGGTCATGCCCAACTCCCTCACAGCCAGCATGGAAAGAACTGTACTGGCTACTTCCTCTGAAGTCACAAATGTCCAGGCAATGTAGAATTGCACCCTAACTTATTCAAGGTTTGGCCCAAACCAGCAAAAAGAGCATCCATATCGAAACTACCCAGCTTAAACAAAGCTATGATCAACACACTACCAGGCTGAAAGCAGCTGTTGGGATAACTCACCAAGTGACAGCATTTGAGCTTGGCACTTTTGCAAGTTTAATTAAACTTGGCACTTACAATGTCAGGATTCAGGACTTTGTGGATGATACATGGAAAATTGTTTAGCCCAGTATGTGAACAAGATGAATTCCCGAGAATCCCAGCCCCTGTTTTTTGTTTGTTTGCTTATGAAAGCCTCTAACTCTGGAGACTGTAGAGACACATTTCAAAAATATGTCAGCAAAAATAGTGCACACTTTCACCTCTTGCTTTCATTACTGGCATTCTACAGGCAAGCAATTTTTAAAATTTAAAACTATTTCCTGGATCTAATTATGTTGTTACAAAGATGTAGAAGATGTTTCTACAAATGCCTTCTTAGCATAATTCATCCAGAATTCTGCATGTAAGCAGAAGACCTCAAATAAGAATAATTACATCCAGGAGGAATAGACATGTTAGCACTGAGGGTTTGTATAATTTATTTTTTCACAGCTTCTTGAAGATAAGAAATTTACAGAACTGCTACTTGCTGGGAAACATGCCATTTTTTCCTGAAATTTTGGAACCAGTTCAAATGGGAGGTCGCTCCCACCATACCTCACCTCAGATGTTGGTGTGGAAACAACTTCTAATAATTCCAGTATGGTTCATAATTTATGTGGCTTATGGCACCGCTCTGCCACTTGTATCGCTGTTTCTCACATTTTGACACCCCCACTTCTAAACCTCCTTCACTTGCTGCTCCTCCCACCCTTAGTGCAACACCTGATCATTTGTTTCTGAGGGGAATATGTAGGACGAGGGTGCAAAACTTCAGCTCCTGGGCCAAATCCAGAATCTATGGGAGCCAAATCCAGTGCCTGCAGGGGCCAAACCAGGCCTTTCAGGGTTCCCTGGACAGCCGCACACCCCTAGCCTGGCGTTGTTCTTTTCCCCACAAGTGCCAATTGCTTTGCGTGGGTCTCGTTTCCCATTTTAAAAGATTGCAATGCCTCTTCAAACCTCAGTAATGGCTTTCAGCGCCAGCCGTTCTGTTATTCTGGTCCTGCTGTCATTGCCGTTGGCCTTGCCCGGTTTACTTTTGGTCCCACCCACAACTGCCAGGAGCCGCAGGGGTTTCTCTACAGTGGTCAAGACCCCTGATGTAGAGATCTTCATTCACAGTTGCATGCTGTTTCCTGCTTCTCCTGGCCAAAAAAAAAGGGGGGGGGGAAGTGGGTCATTCTAACACTGGGGTTAGAAAAATAAGTGAGAACTGCAACAAAATGTTGCAGTTTCGGATGCGGCTGCTCCAGTGAGCCAGCCGTATCTTCTTTCAGGAGATGACATTGCTTTCTTCTTCTGGTCTAGTTCTCCATTTCCACTCAAGGCAATCAAAACTGGATGGCAACTGAGTATGTTCAATTGTCCATTAAACTGTTTCTGTGAGCTGTTTCTAAAGATTGTTTTGAGAAAGAACTTTTTGGGCTCCGCAAGCTCTGCAGCCTCCTGGCATTTCCCACCTGTGCAGGGATGATGCCACTTGTCTACAGAAACATCGCCACACACTGCAGAACACCGGAATGGAGGGGTTCAGCTAGATAGTTGCCATACCCAGGCAAGCAACGGTCAGTCGAACAAAGCATCTGCTCTGCCTGGGTTCTTTCTTCCATTGTGGGGACAGGGATCCCCAGAGCTCCATTCTTGCTCATTAGCATAGCACAGGGCAGTCTGCAGAACAAAGGCTGGCTGCACGGCCTTTCCCAGTGTGGTGCGACCAGGTGCACTGAACTGTAATCCCCATCATTCCCAGCAGCATGGCCAATGGCCTAATACGGCATCATGGCTGGGAATGGTGGGAATTGCATCCCAGCACATCTGGAGTAGGCTCCACATGTGCTGGAATGCCAGGGATGGCTAGGTGAGAACATGGAGATGGGGGTCTCTGCTCAGCCACAAGGCCAGGGGACATTCAATCAACCCCAGCTATCCGGGGAACCATCTGCCCCTCACAATCCCCTATTCCTCCCTATCTTGTCTGCTCCTGTGTCCCTCCCTAGAGGCTGAAGCTGCGGACAGGGAGTCAACACTGGCCTACAGGGATCTGCATTGTGGAGGTTGATAACCAGGCACAGGCTGGAGGCAACAACACATCCCACCCTGATTTTGGAAAAAAACAAGACGTGGGTGCAGCGTGCACCTTGTCCACAAGCAGAATTGTAGTCCTGGGAGATTTCTGAGAATACAGTTGTGCTTCCCTGCAAGTCTTGCACACTCATGCATCACACTTTTTTGGATGAACACCATGCCTGCCATCACCACATCACTCTCACTGTTGCCACAAACAGCCAAGGTTTATACAATAGAAGTTTGCTTCTCGGTAGCTGGCCACCGCTTGCATTTTCACAGCTTTCTGATATTTCCTTAAGAGAGTCTGTGTACAATTTTATCAGGGCTTCATCATGTAACGAAGCACAAAATGGAGGGCAGAGATTTAATGGTGTTCTACCCAGTGGTCTTCTCCACATCAAAATCTTAAAGTATGGTGTCCATAAGCTGTATTTTTACAGAGGAGAGCCTGTTATTTGACCGTATCTTCCATTTGTTCAACCTAAGCCCAGTTTAAAGATAACGGATTTTAAGAAAGGTGAACCAGCAAGAACCTTGAAGCTGCCATCCGCAGTTAGTACCTGGCCAACTGATGAAGGAGACTGCCACACAGGCTGCAAAGTATTGTATTTCTAAAGTATAGCAAGTATCTCTGTGTGTGCATTTATACATAAAATTTGGGTCTGCTAATTTGTATGCAATTCTGTGTCTTTTCTATTTCACCGTATCTTCTTGAGACAATTGTCCTCACCCAGCTGCTCGTGAGAATAAGAATATTATCTGATTAGGGTTTTCCAGGATGGTGGGGGTGGTAGACTATTTTAAATTTAAAATACTTGAAAGATTTTACACACACACACACACACAATTTAAGATTTGAAAATCTTAAAAATATTGGATGGCATATATAAATTTCCCTATTTTGGGAATGAGAAAGTTTCAACAATTAAGCATAGGTTGAAAGGTGAAACTGGTGCAGTTTCTTCCATTCTGAAATAATCTTAAGGTCTAGATTTTATTTATTCTTAGCAGGAATTAAGTAGCTTCTTTCCAGAGCTTTTTCTTGCTGTTATCAAACTGTTTTGTGTTAATTTTTCCTCATATTCATGTTATCATAATTAAATACTGTGCAGGATTGCCCTAAGCCAATTTTATTTTCAATTATCACTATTACCTCAGTAATAGATTTATTTTTTAGACATTTGCTCCATTTGTATGCTTAACTGTTTTATTTTGGAATGTTTGTCCCATCTGTATAACTACATTCTATGTTTTTGTTATGGCCTTTGGCAAAGGCAATAAACTAAAATGTACATGTTATTCCAGTGTAAATGGCTTTATAGTCTCTTATGATCTTTTTATTTTTATTTAAGGACAAAATCCTATTCATGTTTTGAGAGAGAGAAAAGTCGTAAAACTCCTAGCAACCCTCAGCGAGCTGGCTGGGGAATGCTGGGAGTCAGAGGGTGCTTTTCTGTCTAAATAGGATTGTGCCCTGAAGCTGCCTGTTAATGCTTCAGAGGCACTGCTGTTTCATAATCAGCTGGAAGGGGAATTGTTCCCAGCTCCTCATGGGACTTGCACTACTCCCAGTCAAAACCATGGTGCACCTCTTCCTTCTTTCCCGAGAGAGAGAGAGAGAGAGAGAACGAATGGTGGTGGGAAAGGCAGGAGAGTTATGAAATTCCATGTATGAAACATAGAATTCCATCTGGATCCTCCCCTAAAAGTCTGTATTTAAGCATAGCAGTAGCACAAAGACTTGTCTAGAAGTATCCTTACTACAGTGCTGTTTTCTCTATTAAAATTCAAAATGCTCGCCCACAGGGTGGCAGTTAAATGCCAGCTGATCACAAGTAATGGGGTTAAGTTTTAAACAACTACTCAGAACCATAATTCTGTTCTAGAACCTAGATTCACACTTGTAGTTCAGTTGCATTAAAAGTTATGCAAATCACCAAACCTGGTCTTTAAAATACCAGGATGGCAACTCAGAAAACACTAGAAGGCAACAGAGTAGTGGCAATATTGTCTGAATGCTCCAGAAAAATGAGTGAATGAGATGCAATTTCACTGCAAGCAAACAGAGTGAAAACACCCTTAATTTCTTAATAGTTTTTAATTCTTTCGTTTCTATTGATTGTAAATCGCCTGGAGCGTTGCTAGCAGGGGAGTCAAAATGTTGAACTAGACAGGCCATTGGGCTGATCCAGTATGGTTTTTCCTATGCTCTTCTGTTGTTTTCATAATAGTGACAACAGTAATTATTCTTTCTTTCCTCAATGCTGCAGAAGTTCACGCCCCTCAGGAAGGATGCTGGTTGGGGAATGCTGGGAGTTGTAGGGTTTTGCCTGTCTAAACGGGCACCAGACTGTGTCCTTGGTGACTCGAGTAATGACCTGGAGAGCCTCAGAGGGAAATTCCACACAGTGAAGATAATCACTGAGAGAATGACTCACTTATACTGCAATGCTAAACACAGTTGATGGAAAATAAGTCCCCCTAAACTCAGTGGCATTTCTGCTAAGCAAACATGCATAGCATTTGCTATTGAAGAATGGACAGAGCTTCCATTCCAGTGAAGCCAAACCTAGAACAGGCTTCCTCAACCTGGTGTCCTCCCATGGTTAGCTGACTGGGAAGTGATGGGGCTTGCAGTTCAAGCCAACACATCTCAAGGGTAACAAGTTGGGAAAGGCAAACCAAGTTAAAATATTGAAGCAAGTCTTTCAATATTTATAAGTGGATTTATTGCTGGTGGAGCAGGTGTTGATTGGTTGGGTGCTATTTATTTCTTTTATCATTGTGATCTGAATTGTATTTTTAACTTATTTGTTTTTTATCATACTTCATCAGATCAGTTTGTTTTTTATTGTGAACCACTGTGAGTTTTATTTTTAGTGGAAATAAATAAATAAACAGCATAGAATTTAAAAGTTTGCTCTGGATATTTCTTTGTGTTCCTTTTTTACAAGATGAGCTGCCATCTCTGAGGCTACTTCTTCAACTCCATCAACTGAAGCAGCTGAACTGTAACTTACAAAGGTGTTAAAGAGAGAAACATCAAGGCAGACCCCAGCCAGAAAATGTATTTTCTCACTTTTCTTCACCACAGAAGTAGGCCACCTGTCAAAACCTGCATAAGTCATTCACTCTCAGTCAAACAAATCATTTTCCCTTCACAATCAACTTGCCGCTCTTCCTCAGATAGGTGCCCCTCTCAACACACAGTCATGCAAATGTGCCACTGTATACCCAACTGAAAACTGCAAAAACTCTATTTTATAAGGCAGCATCTCTCTTCTTCTCCCCTCCCATTGCATTGTTGTTTGTTTGTGCCCTTTGCCTCCCTTCTGTGTTTCGCCGAAGGCCTCCCTTCCTTTTCCTCACTGTCTGGGGCTTTGCCTCACAACTTGTCCACCTGAGGTGGACATTAAATCAGTTTCAACGTCTGGCCCGTCATTTCACATTATGTTAGGCTCCTCAGTCAGTAAACAAGTCCCTGTGGGCACAACATCCCCTTCCCAGAGGTCAGAGCATTGAGAAGGGCATCCTCTACAAAGTTCATTCTTTTCAGTGAGATTGTGAGATTCCCCAGCTTTTTGCCCTTTGAATTACGTATCTCACCAACACACATGCACACCTCATGCTGTGAGATGCATGTCTATAAGGACCCATCATTCCATAAGCTGCAGGTTTTAGCAAACCCATAACAATGACAAAGACTGTTTATCTAAGATCCTTGACAGAATTCAGACTTCACCCAAGCTATGGTTTGTATTCATCCTAGTTTTAGAACTCAAAGCAAGGATTCAGCGTTCACATGCAAAACAAACCATTGCTTAGGACGGCTTGGTTGTACTCATCAGCTCAGTTCTCCTGTCTTTGGAGGAGCAGTGACAGCTGTAACTATGGTTTGTCAATTCATACACCACACCAAAGTTGCACAGACTGTGTTTTGCCAATTAACTTCAAACTACAGTTTCCGATTCTAGTTTGCTAACTAATCACACTTCAGGCCTCACACAAACTATAACTAGGCTTCTTTAACCATGGTTTGGTGTGATGTTGAACTGAGTGGCTGTTGTTTAGTGGTCTTCCCATCCCCAACAGTCTGTGGCATTTTGCCCATCACTTGAAAGAAATGGTCCTCTCAATTCAAATCCAAGGTGACTGATGTAGTGGAAAACTGTTCTTGATAGAGATCAGGATGTGTTTTCAAAAATAACAAGAAATGCCTGCAGTTCCTGTAGTTGGGCAGAATTAAGGATAAGGTCCTCTGGAATTACCACTGTGCAAAAGTTGCCTTGGCCCAATTAGGATACCATATGATGGAGACTCCCAGGTAGCTATGAAGAAATACTGATCTAGCCATTAGGGAATGAAATTGCAACATCACAGCATAACTTATGATGTCCCAGAAGAGTAGTGAATCTGGATCACAGAAAGCAAAGGCCTTCCTGAAACCACCAGTTTTATCACCTATTAGCAACAGACAGGCCTGTTTAATGGCCAAACTGGTTTATGTGTCCCTGAGGATGCCGCACTTCCCTTTACCTGCTTTAATGGCCCTTTGGTTTTCAGGAGCATGAACACAATGTAGAATGGAATGCAGATCATAGAGGAGAGAGCCATCAACCAGCCAATAGCAGCCCCCCATGGTGGATACTCATAGACATTGTTGTATTTGAGCGGTGTGTATCTAATCAGTGAAAACAAGAAGATCGCCTGGAGAAAACAAGAATAGAAAGCATAACGGCTAGGATAAGCGATGCATTAGAAACATGTACAAAGAGAGAATTCAGGAGAAGGGACTATATGTTTTACTTAGAGTCACTTTGCACAACTACAGCAAAAAAGATGACCAAACTCCAGCCTTGACACAGCCCACAGAGACCTAGCTGTGTGGTTATCCCAGTGAAGGCAAGATTCAGCCAAGGTTTAGTGTTCGGAGTTCTGCTCTAAACATGGTTATTTCAGCATGTGCAATGGGATGCCAAGGTCTGAACGGGGCTGCAGAAACCATACCTGAATAAAGAAATGGAATCAGGAGTTCTGCTCTGAAGTCAGTTGCTGTGCTCAGAACCTGAAGTGTGGCCAGCTCTGTTCTGCTGACCAGGTAAGGGCAAAAGGCTGAAGTGCTACTATTCTATGCTATAGTAAATGCTTAGATGCTGTCTCATAAGATACATTTCCCCACAGTCTTCTAAAGGAAGTAGATCCCTGTAAAACTCCAGATGTTATATGCCAGGGGTACATTTACATTTACAGTCCAATTACAGTCCAATTACATTTTGGAAGCAATTTTAAGTGTTGCATTCCCCTCATTGATGAGGCCAAAAATATCAGCATATTTGAGCTTAGATGTCTTACTGCTGAGAACTAAGCCTTAGGAGAGACATTTCAGCCTGTTAGAATTGGGGGAGGGGGGGACACACAGCACAAGTTGGGAAACCTAAAAAGAATTGGTGGTTGGGGCAAGGGGGTGGGGCCAGAGGAAGGCTCATGACCCTTTGGGAGACCCAACAGGGCTGCATGTGGCTCCCCGGCAAGAGGTTCTCCACCCCTAGTCTAGAATCTGAATACTTAAACAACCACCTTCTCTTACACAAGCCTGCTATATGCTCGCCCCACTATGCATCCACCACCACCAGGGGTTTGGCCAGTGATGATACGGAAGAGGTCCTTCTCCATCACAACGTTCAGATTATGACACTCACTGCTGTACTTGGTTCCCGAATGATGAATTTCCAATCCCTTTTGTTGGCCTGCCTGACATTTTATCCACCTTTTACACCCCTTCACTTTCTGGATGGTTTCATCTGTTGTGGCATCCAGTTATATTTCCAAAGAAGTACTGCTGTTGGTTCCTGGCTTTACTGTTGAACATAAGCTGCTCATGAGTTAGAAAGGCAGCTCTTCACTCCAAAATGCAGCTCGCTCACTCAACTAACCAATAACCCCAAAGACACAATGCACCTACCAGACACATGCCAGGTGTGAGAAAGAGCCAGCAATATTTAATCAGGGGCCATGGCCGGTAACCAATCATATCCTCAATATTGTCATAGAAACGGTCTGCTCCTTGATCACCACAAAGAAAGAGAAATTTAAAAGAAAATCAGTATGGAAGTATTATATTGCAAATCTCTCATATAGGCAACAAGTTGAAAAGTATACTAAAATATAGTACTATTTTTTAACAAAGCAAACCATTGTGAGCTCATTTGTATTCCTTCTTTCATTCAAGGCAATCAGGGTTACAGGAGGCTGTTTTTTTAGGACAGCCTTCCCCTACTTGCTGCCCTAAGGATCTGTTGGACTACAGTTCCCATCCTCAGCCATGTGGGGCCTGCTGACTGTATGTGATGAAAGCTGCAGCCCAATACATCTGGAAGACACCAGGCCAGGGAAGGCTGGACCAAGAGATACAAAGACAATTTTGTCAGCTTTGTAAATGTTGGTAAATTCTGCAAAGCTTCACAGTTTTGAACTTGGATTTCCCATATAGATTCATAAAACCATAGAATAGAAGAGTTGGAAGGGGCCATGAAGGCCATCAAGTTCAACCCCCTCCTGTTGCAGGACATCACATTACAACATCCCACTGAGATGGCTGTCCAGTTTCTTTCTGAATGTCTCCAGTGTGGGAGAGCCCACCACCTCTCCAGGCAGCTGGTTCCACTGTCATATTGTTCGGACAGCGAGGAAGCTTTTCCTGATGTCCAGCCTGGCTTGATTATTCTGTGTCCTACACTCTGGCATCAGCAAGAAGAGATCTTGACCTTCCTCTTTGTGACAGCCTTTGAGGTACTTATAGAGGGATATCTCATCCCTGTATGCTCCAGCCACTTCAATACACTGGCTAGCACAACCCATGAGGAAGTAAACAGAACTGATCCCATAAAGATTACTAGATATATCCATTTCGAGCATGCAAAATTTAGTATTAATGATTATGAGGGAAAAATCAAAACTGTTTACATGTATTATTGACTTTAGCATTTTGCCACATGTTCAGGGTTAATCCTCCCAAAGGGACTCATAACCTGTGTCTACATAAATATTCCCATAAAATGGCATATATAAATGAAGAGTGCCATCTTATCTATGCATGTCTACTTAGAAGTAAGTTCTACTGAATTCAATGAGAATTGCTCCCGGGGAAGCATGCGCAGTGATGCAGCAAACCCAGGAGCAATTAAAAATAACACAGAGCTTTGAGCATGTTGATTAAAAGCAGCCACCATGTTTTGGAACACCAGACGGGCCTCTATTAGAGGCAAGTCTTTTCCTCCTCTGTAACTGCTTTTTACAAGGTGGTTTATGGTTTGCTGTCTTTTTATATCTTGTCTTTGAAGTGAAAAGGTTTTATCATCCTTTCAGCTGTTTTCGCAAAAGTTGTTTTATATTCCATAATGATCACTGTTCTACTATGGATGGCCTGTTTTAGTGGTGTTTTATCTCTTTAGTCAATGAGGTTTGTTTTAGGCATTTTTCAGGCACTGATCTTTATAGAATTATATTTTATCGTATAACATTACATACAATGAAACCAGATGAGCTGGAGGTCACCAAGCAGCGACACTCTCTGCCTCCCAGGAAGAACAAGCAAGGGAAAGACCCAAAGCCCATCTCCTGGCCTGTTTGGACCAGTGCATTTCCCCTTTACTGTCAGTGCCTAAGTTCCTGCCCACCCTACACTCAGTTCCTGGGTGTTTCGTCCCACTCAGGATGCCACTGGATCTTCCTGCATGGGAAAAAATTTAAGAGGACTTTTTGTTCTGGCTGAGCCTTGCTCAAGCAACAAGGTTTTCCTGGGCTGTGGCTTGTTCCCACACCCTTGGATTGCTCCTTGACCTTGGTTTGTTTGCACTTTCTCTTCAGCCCCCACTGGCTTTTCACTTTGGCTTGCTGCCCATGATCTAGCCCTGTCACGTGCTCACCTTGAGGCAGGACGAGGGGGTACAGAAGGCCTCCTCCCCTCCATTGATACAGTAACTTTGGAAGGGCTACGGCTATATGAGAAATTTATTTCAGTTTATTTCTGATCCAGATTTTACCCAGCTTACACCTTGGATGTCATCAAAGTCCACACATTTTCAAGCTTGCAGTGTGATTCATGAACCAGAAAAAAGTTCATTCAGTAGCATACGTACACTGGAAAATGTGCATGAAAGGATGTGTACTTTTAAAAATTCATATGAATATACTTGATTGAATGAGTACTTTTCAAAGATGTGCCCAAAAGATGCATTCATTTGAAAAAATATGCACAAAAATGAGCACAGATTTTTATGCAAAAAAGAACAATAAATAAATACCCACACTTTGACTGACTTGAGACAGAAAAAGCATCTAATAGAACTTGGGGTGAGCTTGAATTTTGCTGATTCACATATCCCCACGCAGAACACGTGTAAAAAGAGATTTTTGTTGCATTGAACTAGCTTCTCCAATTTCACAGCTTCATTCATGGGCAAAAGTTGCCCCCTCTGTTTGTTAACATTTGGGTGAGGAGGGAGCAAGGAAGCTGAGTGAAGCTGAACCATGTGTCTGGGAAAAGAGGGTGGGAGCAGATTGCCTGGGCAATGCCGGCACATATACCTCTCTCCTCTTGTAAACCAACAGCTTCATGTATCTAGGCTCAGAGCTTTGAGCACATAAACTGCAAAGCCCGGCTTTGAATCCCTGGATATTTAACCATGTTAATACTTAAATAGGGTTGTCACCGATTTCCTCTCACAGGATCTTCATTGCTAAAAACTGTATGACAGGCAGTTATACCATGGACTGCTTCGTGCTGGGAATAGCTCTAGTTATTGAACACAAGCAATGTGGACGTGTGAAGAACTGAACAACATTTGCAGAGTTGTTCATATTTGGGAGAGAAATGGCTTTTAAAAAATGAATGCAGGAGAAAGTGAAACTGGTTGATCTGCCCATCCTTGAGAATGAGTGTTCCCCCGTTGCCTAGGAAACTGCAGAGCTCATCCTTGCCAAAACAGAGTGAGCCTTGCCCAGTCGCCTAGGCAACCCAAAGATGCTTGCCTAGCTTCCAGCAAGGCGTTACTGGTGGGCACTCCTGGCAAGGGCAAGCATTGCCCAGTTACCTAGGCAATGCAGGGCAGCTGCCCTGATGCTGGAGGTTGAACAAGTGTTCCTGCTCTGGAGGCAAAATGAAGCATCAAGGCTGGTAGCCAGAGAAAATACAGACACAAATTACAAGTTGTTTCCCCACCGCAACCATCGCCACACCATCCTTTTCTTAAGAAAACCCTGTGGTGAAGGGAGCCAATGTCAGTCTCTGAACACAGCACTCCTACAGGGAAGGCTCCTTAGATGCTTGTTATTACTTCATTTACTTCACAGTGTGGCCAGCCAGCCCTGCTACATCCAGAGATCCTCCCCCCATTCTGCTAAGTGAGGCCTTCACCGTCTGTCTCAGACTCTGAGGCCTGACACTTCCCACATCCACTTGCCTGTGACACCAAAGGCGTCGGGGTTCTAGTATTTAGACTATGGAGGAAGTCATAAAGGACTGGGGACTAGAGACCCAAATCCTGATCCATCTGCTCTGTGAACATGTGAAAAAAATGTTGATTGCTAAACATGAATCATATCTGTCCCAGTTGTAGCTTTGTTGAACAAAATGAATTAAATACCAGGCTCTTTCAATTCACAGTGGAACCAGAAAGCCAAGCGCCATCTCTCTGCTTTGAGCATTGTGGTTTAGCTGCTTAGCGTACCTGTCTAGAAAATCAAAGGTTCTGGACTGAATCCAAGAAAGGGCCTCAGGTGTTTTTCATTCTGGTTTGGTTCCCAAACCAGGGAAGGGTCGTGGTCCCTTGTGTAAAGAAGGCCCAGGTTAAACTGTCAGCAACTCCCAAGCAAAGCAGGAAAAAACTTCTGCTTGAAATCCTGGGGTGCCCTTGCTGCCAGCCCGTGTCAGCAATACTTGAATACACGGGCCAAGGATCCGCCTCTGGATACAGCAGTTTCTCATGCTCTTCTAAAACCACTCAGGAGAGCTAGACCTACAAAGTATTATCCGAATGCCCATGACATTTAGGCAATGGTGAAGCAGCTAAATTTAATCGAGTCACAGAGCTGGGGTTCCGATTATAAGCTCTAAGTGCTCCAGCCCACAGCTCCAGGCTGCACACCCTGAACCACAGCGATTAAGCCATGGGGAGCCCAACATCTTTATGACCTGCTTCCTTGGTTGCACACCTGAGATGACAACAGAGATTAGTCAATGGGATTCAGGCAAAATCGGAAGTAGAATGTCATGAGAGAAACTATCATAATAGCAGGCTTATAGCTGGTTAAGCAGAGAGAATCAAGGAGGAAATGAAAAGCAGAAGCAAAAAGGCCCAACTGAATCCACTTAGAGCAAAAGCCATTCCAGCCATCAGCACTGTTGGTGCTTCCTTTCCAAACCAAGTTCCTGCAGAAATGCTGCCTGTCAAGGCTTCAGGAAACACGTCAAAGGGAAAGGGTGATGCAGTAGAAAATGTTGATGCTTGACATGAATAGATCTACTGCATCCATGGGAGGGAAGTTGGCATGCTGTTTTCCCAAAGATGATGAAAAAATTAATCTGGCCCAAGGAAACATCCATTCAGTCAGTCAACACTGCTCTCCAGCAGAAGAAAAACTGTGGAAAAGTTGTACCAGCCTTCTCCCTGTCCTCCTTCCCATCGTCTATTTGAAAGGATTATATATGCTACTGCAGAGAAGGGCCATGAATAACTGCTTGGGGAAAGTTTTGCTTAAATAGATGGGGCTGTTTGCCATTATCCTAAGACACAGAAGCTAAATCCCTGGCATAAGGAAGCAGTCTGTGCTATCAGAACTCTTGTCTTGACAACTGTACCATCTCATCATTTCAAAAAATACAATCCCATAACCAGAATATAGAGATGTTCAAATCAGTAAAACCCAAGGACTTCAGAACACGAATTTCTTCCTCTCTACTGCAAGGCTCATCTTGGCCTGGGTTTGTATCAGCTGATGAGCTTTTTTTCCTTTTCACTTATTTGCATGTCTACTTCCTCAAATGTACCCATGAATTATGAATATTGTTAAACTTGTCTGTCATTGATTAAAGCAGGTTTTTACCCATCGTTTGAAGGTATGCATTTTTTCAAACATGGTTTTGCTTCATGAAATGCAAATTTAGAAATGTGCAGAGTTGGACTGCAAATTGCATTCAGACCTACACTTGGTTCCAGGTGGTATGAACTGGGTAAATTCTGATCAGAAATAAATGGATAAAAATTTCTTATACACCCTTACCAGAACCTATAACTCTGCTAGCCACGTGCTTTGGTTCCTTCAGGAACATGTCCAAAAGTCCACTTGTGCATTTTTAAGGCTGCAATCCTACACAAAACCACGTAATTCGGATTACACTGCAGGATTTATATCCAAGTGAACATGCAGAGAATTGCACGGTAAGCCAGTTCCCATGACCTCAAGCCTGAAGTGAGCTCATTGACTTGTGACTCTAAATACAAAAGCTGCCAGGCCCAAGAGAAGACCCACATGCTCCCTTATGAACCCTTGGGCCATGTTTGTTCTGCAAGCTCCCTGGGCTGCATTTGGCACACACTATCAGTTCGCACAACTTATGGCAGGCTCAGGCTGAAATACACACACTCTCACATTCACAGCTAAAAAGGCTTGTGATGCCCTGCTGTATTTTTAACTTCCACAACAAGAGTGCATATTCAGAGTCTCTTAACAGTCAATGCCTCACTGGCCAGCGTGATGTGACTCTTGATTAAAGGAGCATTAATCCCAGTGGCTGCCTAAGGGAGGGGTGGACAATGAGCAGCCTGCATGCAGCTCCCACAGCCTTTGGGAAGGGGTTTGCCCACGGCTGCAGAATTTGCTGCTGCCACCATGGAGAAAAAAAAGCCAATGCTTTTGCAGGCACCCGTGCCCTTGGTTCGCAAACATTCCTGGAAGTCCCCAAGGGTGTGATTCTGCCCATAAACCAGGTGCACACCCTCTGTGCAATTCCTCGCAAATTCACAGTGGGGGCACGCCACGGCCCATGACGGCTCCCAGAGGACAATGTCTCCCCCTGCAAGAAAAGCTGGCCTAAGTGGCCTACTACTCCGTCACTGTTCTTCCGCTGCATCATGATCTGCCTTCCTTCGCCAGCTAACCTGTCTTGGAAGATAATCCACAGCATGAGTATAATCCTAACACTGTGACAATTTAAGAGGCATTTAAAATGCATCAAACATCCTGTTGTTGTTGTTAGGTGCTACAACAAATTGCCTACAACTTACGGTGACCCTATGAATAAAAGCCTTCCAAAATGTCCTATCCATGATATCCCTGCTTAGCTGCTATCAGTTCAAAGCAGTGGCTTCCTTTATGGTGTCAGTCCTTCTATTATTTGGTCTTTCTTTTCTTGGTCTGCCTTTGACTTTCTTGTCTTGCCTTTTCATGACGTGGCCTCAGTAGGACAGCCTCAGCTTTGACATGTTTGCTTCTAGGGAAAGCTCTGGCTTAACTTGATCTAGAACCCACTTGTTCGTCTTTCTGTCAGCCCAGGGTATTTGCAAAGGTCTCCCTGAGATTACCCGACCAGCATTATCTCAGAAACCTAGCCCCCTTATTGCACAGAAGCTGGGCAAAGTGCAAATTGGGTTCTGCCATGCAGCAAGTTTATGACAGGGTGAGATCGGAATTCAGGCTTCCCAGTCCATGGCCCACCCTTTGGGTCACTATAGGCTACACCAGTGTTCCCACTTTCTATCTGAATTTGTCTGCATGGGCACCCTCGGGCATGAAACATACATTTATTTGAAAGCACAACACACAGGTCACAATTTAACTCCAAGGCCACCTGCAGTGGAGCCCTGAGCATCATTTCATCCAGTGTCGACCCCCAGTTACCCAAGAATCCAACAGCATTAACCCAATTTAAGCTCCAGAAAGAGGGTGCCATAGAGATTTCTTTTAGAATGACATATCTCAGGGTTAAGTTCACTGGTGTTGCTTAGAAAATTCCCTGGGCAGTGTTATTTTGGCATCAGGTTTCCCATCCATCAAAAGGGATGCTAGTTTTAAGCAGGATTCTCTCCTCTCCCCATTGCTCCAGGAGCTTCCCTTTGGCTACTGCAACAGCAGCAGTAAATTAGCTGGAATTGCAAGATGCTTTCACAGAAGGAAAGCTGTCTGCAGCGGGAAATCCTGAAATCTGTATAACGTCAACTGCTTGACAAGCAGGGGGAAAGCTGCCAAGCTGTGGGTGGCAGCATCATGGCTGGCAAAAGGCAAACGTGGAACATGTGCCTTTATTCATGCTGTTTGCTGAAATACTTTGCAAATATAAAAATCTGCTGCAATATAAGCAGAGAGGATCCAGGAGGCCTAACCACAGTTCCTGGCCTTGAGTTGGCTCTTTACTGACCTGCTGTTTCACACCAGTGTAGAGGTAATATTTGAGCTACAGAACTGGTATTTGGAATTGGAATGAGAAATTATGATCACCATCTCAGTTTTAATTATCAGGCAAAAATCTTGACTATGATATTAAGAGAACAGTACTAGAGGATGGCAGATTTTTTTTAAATTCAGAGGCAGGCAACTCGTGCCCCTTCAGAAGCTTTGGTATACAGTTCCCATCAGCCCTAGCCAGCATAACTAATGCTGAAGAATGATGGAAATTGTAGGACAATATTTCTGGAGAACCAAAAGTTGCCCACCATTGTTCTGATCCTTTTAAGAGTCAAAGGGTCTTCAAGATATTATCAAAATATCTCCGTAACTTAAACATCTGTGAGGAATTAGCATTACTCTTTCATTTGGAGAACCTAGGCTGAGATAAGAGAATTGTGAAGGTGCTTCTGTGGTTCAGTACTTGGAGAGGAAGCTGGGCAGAATCTGGGGCCAGGGCAGGCTTATACTCACTGATTCCTTTCTGCCCTGCTGATCCTCTTCCACCAGCACTCAGTCCTGCCAATTCCATTCTAGAAACAGGGCCACTGTTTAGGCAAGGAAGATGCAGTGCTTCCTAGGGGAACCCCCAAAACAAGCAATCTGCTCATTTCTAGGCATGGGCTCTGCTAACCTGTCTCCTGCCAGAAGCATTTCTGCTTCTTTCAACATGTCCCTGGAAGTGCTAGATCCCCACTGCACAAAGAGACAGAGGCAGAGAGCGCTTGTGTACTCATGCAATGCAACTGGAGCAGTGGAAGAGACTCTGGGGGCATAAGTGCCCCATTAGATTCAGCCCTCTACCTCCCCTCATACAAATGCATCCCTTAGATCTGCCTGGAGGTGATCTATGCCATGCCTAATAAACCACCATCTTGGCTCCATGGATTCTCTCTTCCAAAATGGGACCATAGTGAAGGTCGAATTTAACCCATCATTTCACACCACGTTGCTCTCCAGATGGGTTGGACTGCCACCATGAGCATTCCCAGCAAGCATGACTATTGGCTGGCTGGGAATGAGGGGGACTGTGGTCCAAAACACCTGGAGGGGGCCAGCTTGGGGGCTGCTGAGGTTTCACCCAGCAGGAGGAATGCCACCATGTTTCTGTCAAGATCAGCTCAATAATCAGACCTTTCTGCCATTAGCAACAGCTGCTGCTATCACAAACACGCCTAGAAGAAAGGCAGTCCAGCCAAATTCTGCGTTCTACATACCATAAACCCATCCAATGCAGGTGACTTCAAAGAAGGCAAGGAAGAGGAGGCAGGTGCCACTGGCTGCATAATAATCGAACAGCTGGAAGATGTACATTCCGCCCTACAAGAAGCATAAAACGGAGTGGTGAGATCATGAACAGAATGAAGGATGGGCAGCGGGCAGGGAGGGCAAAAAGCAGAATAGCTCGATAACATACGGAGCGGGAATACAGCAAGAAGGCTGCTTCTGTACAACACCATTTCCTAGTAGACAAGCCTAGACATGAACCTCCATCTCTCCATTAATGGGTTGTGATAGTTTCTTGGATTATTATCATCCCTTAATGGAGACATTTGCAATGCTTCCTTCCTCCCTGCATCTCACAACACAGCTAGGCATATCTGCAAATCACATTCACTGCCATCATCCTGGTGGGAGGAGCCCAACATAGCAGCCCTAAACAGCTGTGGGCTGCAATCCATGCTTACGGCTGTGGTGGATGCAATAGGAGCATCCCCTCGGTATCTAATGGCACTTGCTCACAGGGTGGAGTGTGCAGCCTTCCAGCCCCAGTCATGGTGCTCTCCTTGCAACCAACTAAGATCAGCAACCATTTTATGAGTAGCTTTATTTAATGATCACTTCTGTATCCAAACCAACTTTTGAATCGAGGGTGGCTGTTCCGTGTTATTGACACAAGCACCCCTGTGGGATGCAGGGCTAAAGACACTACATTACTGTATGTTGTATTTTTTAAAGCTTGGTTTAATGGGCTGCTGCTAATTGATGGGACAGACAGACAGACATTGGGCAAGTTTAGCGGGTTACCATACATGTGCCAGATAATCTCAGCCTCCTTGAACTGTGACTTAAGCCAAGACTCTCAGGAAGCAGCGTCAGGAACCGTGCATAAACCAAGGGACAGAATAGCACTCTTGGAGGAAGAATGGTTTGCAGCCCATAGAGTGCTAAAAGAGTACAAACTTCAAAACAAGCTAAGTTTAGATAGTTTGTGCTCAACAGAAGTTGAGGAAGAATTTTCCAACGTATTTCAATTAGGTGTGGAGGAATGTATGACCTTCCAGATGTTGTTGGATTACAAATCCCATCAACCCTGACCATTGGCCACACTAGCTGGAGCTGATGGAAGCTGCAGTCCAAAACACCTTAGGAGCCATAGGTTTCCACTGGTTTAAGGCATCCCAAAATTGAGAACTAAAAAAAGGGATAGTGATTTACTTGGGGCAGGTGTCAGAAAATATGGACTTGTCCTGGGGAATACAGAAATGTGGGGCATATGCAAATACAATCCACTTGTGATCCTTTGTACAACATAAACATGCCCAGACACTGTGATCAACACCAGTGCTTTCCTCCAAGTACCTCCCGTGAGGCAAGTTCGGAAGGTGGTAACAAGCGTCTTCTTAGCGGTGGCCACCAGCTTCTGGAATGGTCTCCCCACTGAAATCAGCCTGGTGCTAACACTGCCATCTTTTGGCACCAGGTTAAGACCGTCTTCTGCTCCCAGGCACTTGAGAGCATAGAATGGGGCATTTATGTCAGGTGTTTCTGCCAGGTCCAGTTTCTTATAATAGATGTTTTTTACTTGTTTAAATTTTGTATGCAAGAGATTATTTATTTATTTATTTATTTAAAACGTTTCTAGACCATCCCATTACCGAAGTCTCAAGGCAGTTTAACAATACAAAACATAAGTATGTTTTATTATTTTGCATTGTGATGTATACTTCCTGTGAGTGTCCAGAAATCTTTGGCTACTTGGGTGCTATAAAAAGAGACTTCATTATCAGATTGGCCAAAGTATGTGAGAGTCGTTTATAATATCCGGATACTGTGCTGGTTTGACAGACCTCCTGGGTAAGCCTTTCTTTCTCCCATCCACTGTTTCTCACCTCAGTGACCAGCAGTAGGCCAAGAAGGTAGCATATCACTGCAATGCCCAAGATCAGCAGTTCCCGCCGCCCTTTCTTACGGAAGATTTGCGGGTACATATCAATAATGGCTGTCACCAAGCTCTCAACACAGACAAACTATAGAAGAAATGATATCAGGAAATCTGGGTTAGAGAGCTCTCCTTTCTCAGTCCTTCTTCTCCCCAGCTTCCTTCCTCCTCCCACTAGCAAACTCTCATCAGTGTTGGGTCTTGGCCATTTCTTCCTGTAGGAACCCAGTCAGGTATCTCTCCCAGCACCTGCTGGACTGGGCTAAGGATTCTGAGGGGAGGCCTTTCTGTGGCACTGGGTGTACACGGCTGCCTTGGCTCAGGCTGAAGTGGGAAGAATCCAAGGCTTTCCTTGCCTACAGGCAGGGCCCATAATTCAAGGGTCGAAGCACTTGCTGTGTAAGCAGGAGGTGTCAGGGTCCATCCCTGCCATCTCCAGATCCAAATCTGGAAATAAAACTCTGTCTGAGACACAGCAGACTACATGGGTCTAGATGGGTCAATTCTCTGATAGCGTAAGGTGGCCACCTCGTTTCAGTGAAGCTACCATGCACCAGAATGGACACGTGTGGGTCAGGTATGGGGAAGCTGTCATCCTCTAGAATCTGAGGCTCCCAACTTGCATTGTCTTTCATCACAGAGTTCTGTTCACCACAGCTGGTGGAAACTGCAGGCCAACAAATTCTAGAGGGCACAAGACTGGACAGCAGGTTGATCTTCAGATACTTTGGTCTCCAATTCCCAGAAGCCCCTGAAAACATGACCAATAGCCACAGGAATGCTGGGGGTTGAAGCCCAAAATATCTAGAGATCTACTTGCTGTCCAGCAACTTAAGGCACAGTCCCATGCATGTTTAGATAGAAAAGCATTCTACAGTTCCCAGCATGGCCCAGCTAGCAGAGCTGGCTGGGGAGCACTGGAAATATAGAACTTTTTCCATCTAAACCTGGGTAGGAATTCACCCTTAGCTGCTCTTCTTCCTCTTGCTTTTTTTCCCAAATGGTTAAGCAGCGTGCTCAGAAAATGCAAGCTTTATTTGGAACAATTAGTGGGGGAAGAATTCAGAACAGGAGGCCTTGCATCTGTGCTGACAAAAATCTGTGCCTCTGATGTGAATTTAATTCAGGTCCAAATGATGGCTTCCCATATTTTCCTCTTGTTCTACTTCTGTAATTAGTGCTTAATACCATCCATGTTACTCCTTTGCGCTCAGATGCCATTTTCCCACATAGCCCAATATATCCCCTGACCACGGATGGAACTAAAGAAATGCATGATATTATTTTGCCATACTTGACTGTCCAGACCCAAGAAGATCAGCATTAGGAAGAATAAGCAGGCCCACAACGGAGGAATGGGCATCATGGTGACGGCTTTGGGGTAGGCGATGAAGGCTAGGCCTGGACCTACAAATCAAACAAGAGTGAGCAAGCGGGGGTTTTGCTAATCTTCAATTCCCATTAACCCTGACTACTGGATTGCCAACATCATTCTTTAAAAATTAGCACTCATCATGCCATGCTGACAGGGGTTGATGGGGACTGGAGCCCAACAGCATTAGAAGGACCAAAGTTCCACCTCTGCCTAACCCAACATGCCAACGGGACTGATACAGATCAGCCTTCCCAAGTCTGGTGCGCTCCATGATTTGGAGTAAAATTCCGAACTTGCCTGACTATTGGCCATGCTGGCTGGGACTCAGGGAAGTTGAAATCCAAAGGATTTGGAGGGCAGTAGGTTGGGGAAGGCTGATACATAGGAGTCCACACATTTCAAGAACTGCCTTCCATGCATAATGATACTGCCTGTTTCTTATATGCACAGAGGTGGTTCCAGTCCAAACAAAAGTCAAAGGACATCAGCCATTTCAGACACAATGGAAGAATCCATACTCTTTAGTAATGATTATTTGTATGGGTCTCCTTAAGGCTGCTTTCCCCAACCTGGTGCCATCCGGATGTTTTAAACTACAGTTCCCATCATCCTCCCCTTGAGGTGACAAGAGTTGCCATCCAAAGCACCTGAAGGACACCAAGACATAGGAGGCCACCACAGGGTTATGGAGGGGTGGCCTCCCATACCTGAGATACCTCGCATTCTACTCTGTCCATCCCCACCACCAGCTGCTCACCTGATTCAGCCACGTCTGCGATAGGCACACCTTGCTCTTCTGCCATGAAGCCCAACACAGAGAAAATGGCGAAGCCAGCCACAAAGCTGGTGGCGCTATTCAGAAAGCAGAGCATAAAGCAATCCCTGTGGGGGCAACGGCAAGAGAGTTGTGAGATCGAGAAGGCACTGCTCCCCGGCTAAGCGTGCTTGCTCCTCTCTGGTGCAGGTGCATTGGGTGTCTGGTTTGTCGAACGGAATCAGAACAGGGTAGAACACAATAGCCAATCTGAGGCACAGATGCAGCCAGAGAGGCCCAGAGGCCCAGAAAGCATTTCTGGGCTTCCAAGGCAAGTGGAAAATGGCTCATGTGCCGGCTGTTCTACAGGATCCCCTGTGCTGCACTTTGGATGGCTTCCCAGCTCCCAGCATATTGCACCTGTTCTCCTGCATGCACTAGTGTGGTCCCACCTCACATCTGTGGCTCCAGCACCACAATCCCAGCAGGGAGGAAGAAGAGGTCCTGACACTTAGCTACTGTTTCAGGGTTCAATGCTTGGCCTCTCCAGACAGGTCTGGAAAAGGGAGCCCCCACCCCCTCCGAGCCTGGGGAATTGCTGCCTCAGATAACGCTGAGCTAGGCAGACCAGTGTTCCGACCCCAGGTATGGGAGCGTCACAAGAAATGGCCATTTTGGTGGTGGCACCAGGGATGGTGATAGGAACTGAAAGGATCCAGGGCTCAGGAGTCCCCAAAAGCACAACTTGCATATGCTCCAAGCTCTGTAAAGACCCTGTCTTCTAAGATCACCCCATTTTGTAAAAAGGAATGAATTGACAGGAAAGCAGAGCATCTGATTTCAGGAAAGCACTTGGACAGAAAGGTTCAGGTGAGGATGGCTGCAAGAGGTGAAGCGCACGTAGGCAAAAGGCCAGCCAACCCGGGGGATCAGATACAACAAAGACCACCAGGGCCCCTGCATCTTTACTTCACCATGTGCCTGTTGTTGTTGTTGTGTTGATTTCTCTACTACACAATATCTGGTGCTTTCTGAGCTGTTCACAACAACACATAAAATACGAATACCCATCATACATTTTCACTACAAAATTTAAAAGCCTGTCTGAGAGACCACATTTGCACTTCTACAACAGCCAGAACAAGTTAAAACAACAAAACCTGTTGAATAGCTGTTATAATGTCCCGATATGCTATTTAGAGTTCTTAAATGCCTCGTCATAGAGGACAGACTTAACGGGCACCAGAAGGATAGATGAGTTGGGTCCAGGTGGGCCTCAGCGGGGAGTTTGTTCCATGATTGAGGGGCCACCACTGAGGAGGCCCTGCTCCTTGTGGCCACTGATCAAAACCTCCCTCAGACATGGCAGTCAGAGGAAGGACCTGGATGTTGATTGTAAAGTTCAAAATGTGCCATTAAGTATTGTAGTCCCAAGCTGTGTAGCCTGTGGACAGCGGGGGGTGGGGGGGGATGTGGCATTCCAGAGATTCAGGACTCCAAGCCAAATGGCCTGCTTCCTAATACTTCCTTTGGGTGACATGGAATGCCATCCCCAGAGAGCCTATTTGTGGTTTTTTTCAGTGCCAGGCAAAATCTCTCTATTGACCCAGCCAATTTTGGAGCTGTTCTTAGTCCTCTTAGATCTTTGCATTATTTCCTCTCTCCTGAAGGTTTTACTTTCAATTTTATTGTGTGCAGTTCCTGGTTCAATCTTATTTTTATTTGACTCATTTTATCTCTGCTTTACTGCAACTTTATATTTTATGTTTTTAATTTGTACAACTGGCCAAAGAATTTCAGTTATTGGTTAGTTTAAAATATGATACAGACTGACAGACAGGCATTTTCCATGGGCATGTGGGCATGCGTGCACACACACTCTGAAAGAGAGGCTAAAGCAAACCCATGCATGGAAAGTAAATTTTGTTGTGTCTTTTTGGAAGAGTGCCTTTGCAAAATTAAAGACCACTGGTATATGGTACATAGGTTTGCTACACAGGAGCAAGTGATTGGTTTCAGTATGATAGGTAAAAAGCAGGGATAAGGGACAATTGCAAAGGGATCCTTATGGCCACTACAGGAAAGTCAATGCGCCAAACTTTGGTAGAGGACATGGAGAGAGAAACGTATACAATATTTTAGGTATTCCATGTGAGTCCCTGACTTGCTTGCTGCAGAATACCAGTGGGGTCTGACTGCATCCACAACTGAGGGGCATACCAGGGCGATGAGACCCAAGATGTTTGTGGCAAGGACCAGAACTGAAGAGAAACCAGCACTTCCTACCTGTAGCAGTTGTTGTTGTACTTGTTGTAGCTGCCTAAGGCTGTCAGGCATCCCTGGCAGATGGCATAAGAGAAGAAGATCTGAGTGCCTGCATCCATCCATACCTGGAACAAGAAGAGGGCAAGTGTCTCTAGATTCAGGGGGCAAGCAGGTGTGGCAAGACAGAAATGCTTCGCTTGATGCACATCTGTCCTGCTCTCCTCATCCCCCACCAGCTGGCCTAGCAGAGGTCAAGATGGGGATGGCCACGCTCCTCTCAGGCTTGCAGGTATCAAGTCTTCTGAATAACAGTCAAGGAATGTTCCATTCGGACAACACCACAGTAAGGCTGGCCATGACAAGCAACAGAGAAAGCCAGCAATTGTGCGTTCTCATTAATGTGAATTATCCCCGTTAATGTCATGGGTCCAGGCAATTTAAGGTCACGCTCCATTTCAATATAAACCTGCCACATAGATGAGCATTAGTGTTGACCCAAGCATGCTTCCCCCTATATTTTTGTAACTTATTATTTATTTATGAGAGTTAAATCCTGCTTTTTTTGTTCCAAAGCACTCAAAGCGGCTCTCCTCCTGCTGCTCTCATAACAACAACCCTGTGAGGTAGGCTGGGCTGAGAGTCTGTGAATGGCTCAAAGTCACCCAGTTGGCTCCATGGCTGAGCAGGGACTAGAACTCAGACCGCCTGAGTTCCAGACTCGTGCTCATAACCGCTACACTACACTGTCTCTTTTGCTGTCAAAGTACTGCAGAGCAGCACCAGAGACAGGGCTTTCTTGGTCACAGGGCCTAAATATGGAATTGCTCTTCCACCAGAGACCGAATGCCTCCTTCTCCCCACTGTTCAGCATGCAGAGGATCCTCAGGCAGGGGCTCAGCAGCACTGCCCCCACCTCTCCACCGGTCTCTTCCCAGCTCCTGCCTGCAGGAACCAGCAGTGGCTCAGTGGGACTTCCCTGTGGAATGAATCAGCTCCAGAAATCTGCCAGCTCCAGGGGATAAACTGCCAGCATCTACAACTGGAGACAAGGACCAGGGGTGCAGGAGATCCTGGCAGGATGAAGCAGGGCCAGAGGTAAAGGTGAAGTCAGGTACAGGTAAAGATAAGATGCCAGCAAAGCAGGGGATGGCCAGAAGCAAAAGCAAAGTCAAGAGTAAGGGCTGGTCAGATGCCAGCAAGTTGTGGCAGAACCAGAGGCAAAGGCAAGGTCAGAAACAAGCAAGCAAGTGAGAGTCAGATACCTGGCAAAGGTGTGGTAGGTCAGAGGCAAAGGTGGGGCTCAGATGAAGACATTTCAATCCTGGTGGCAGAAGCCAGATCAGGAGCACAAAACCGCCACCTGAAACCCTGGAATTTCTGTGGCAAAACTAGGCAGGGATGGGCAGCCTGTTGGAGCCCCTCCTGTGGCTTCCAGCGGGTTTCTGTGATGGCAGTGGCCGTAATCCCTGCAGGCACCTGCAGGCCTGATGCCAGTGGTCCAAGCATGTGCAAGGGGAACCAGGCTGCCTGCTCTATCCAGCCAGCAGGGGGAGCTGTGCTACTTTGCAGATCCTGCCACTCTCCATTGAGGCAGGGCTGCCCATCAATTCCCCCTGCTGTGCTTCAGGGCATGAGCCCCGTTTGCACAGCCCTGACAGCGACAGCAAGCTGAAGATGATTTGCAGTGATGGCTGTCAAAATGGAGAGCAGCCTCCTTCCCCTGCAAGATCACCAGGAGAAACGGGAAGGAAGTGGAGGGGCAGCAAAACACCAAACGCTAAGCAATATTATCTGTCATGGATGTTGGGCATCACGATTTACCATGACGGGCTGCCATTACATGCAAACCCACCCTCTGTGTTCACCTGGGTGAATTTTTGCGTTTCTGGGGATGGTGATTTTATCTTGCTTTAGATTTACCATTTATTGTTTTTATATTGCACATAAGGCAAGCGATGCTGGATCAACCCAAAGGTCCAACACAGCTGCCCAGTACCCCTGCCACCCATTTCCCCAGCAATACATAGGCATAAATCTCTGAGACTGCAGTTAGCATGGAGCCATCAAGGACTGGCAGCTACTGATAACTTTCTCCTCCTTGGATTTGTCCCACCCCTCCACACTGGGGCAGTGAATTCCATGGTTTAACTATGTGCCGTGCAAAGCACTTCCTTTTATTGCGAGCTGTTTCAGGAATCTATGTGATCAAAAAGCGCAAGCTAACCCTTTTCGACAGAAGGGGTAAACCAAGATTTTCTGCAGTCCTGCAGTAGAATCCATGTTCATAAGGTCAGAGGACCAGGACTATCTTAATAGGAGGATTTAGAACGTCATCTGCTATTGCAAATCCCATCCTGTCCACTCCAAACTCAATCGCACCCCGTGGTAGCTGGTGGAGGGAGGAATGATATATTATGCCTACCTACCCCAAAATGCCTCTGCATTGGTGGGGGTGTGACTTGATATTGAATGGGGGCAGTTCAGATGTGTTAGACTGACAAAAGACCTAAGGGTGAAAACCACTAGAAATGGTTTGCCGATACAGATCAACAGAGCTGCCTGCATTCAGCAGCATCTCCTTGCAGGGCACGGATGTGGGGACGGCCACACGGAAAGTCTGCACTTCCACTATAACTGATGAGTGCCATCACCTCCCCTCTCCTCTTTTTAATTAGCAACAGCACATAAATCTACAGCAGGGAATGGATTTATGCCCACCAGCCTCATAGTTGCACAACTGCATAATAGGCACAGAAATAGTTCTGATGTTTCAGATATTTCACAACTCTGCAATGATGCCGTAATTTTTCACAGGGTTTCCTTTGCTAAGAACACCAGCCTCTCGAGGGAAATTCTGGCATTATCCATCAGAAACTCAAGTCAGACCCCAGTAAATTAGAAGAGACATTATCTTCCTCTTTCTTAATCATTTTCACTTAGGGCACAGAGAAACCATCTGTCAGGTGCTGAATATTTAATAAAAGCAGCCACGTTTGCTGTGCCTTAAGTGGCAATGACCTAACATGGCCATATTTTTAAATTGCCCTGGCAAACAGCAGTGCCCACCCTCCAGTGAGGCGCCTGCTGCCCTTTTAAAAGGGCTCTTGCCTCGATGGTGGAATTCTAGGAATTGCCCTGCAGGAATTGGGTAGCCAGGAGTGACCTAAATGGTCTTGTCCAGCACCCAGCAACCTTCATCTCTGTGATGAATTAGGAGACGCATCATATCCAGAAATAAACCTGCATATGTCAGTTCCTGGCCAGAGATCCCCAGTCCTGTGCCCGAGTTCTCTCTTCTCTGGTGCTTCTGCACAGACCCGTCCAGGCACCCTGCTCAATATGGCTTTGGCTGCTCGCCAATAAGGCTTTTAAAGTGCAGTTGTCCGGCCTCATTCATGGAATCCGATGGGGTCCAGACGTTCAGCACCATCTTCCTCTCCCATGTTTGCCTAACACCTTTTCTGTCTTTTTTCTTAGAGCAGAAAATGCATTCAGGAAGAAAAGCAGAGTTTTTTTATTGATAGCACTGGGGCCTCCTTGCCTGAGAGCCTCCTCCGTCTTGGACCATTGATGGGTGAACAACTTGGTTCTGGAACACCCCCCCCCCCCCCGTGGAAATTCATCAGGGTTACTTTTTTGCTGTCCTTATATCCAGGAAGGAGCTGAAAATGGCTTTATTATTATTTTATTTCAACAGGATTTTAATGCTACTGCTTTAAACTGAATTTCAGGATGAAGCCTCTTTTAGAGGGAACTGTGTTTAAACGTGTTTGCTTCCCTGTCATAACTGTGATTTTGTTGGATTTTATTTTTGTGTACTTTACGTTTGTTCTTGTGTAAGCCACTCTGAGAATTCTATGAGCAGAATATAGAGAAATAACCTGAACAGTAACGCTGCGCATGGAGGGTGAGATGGCCACCCTCTTCTTCTTAGTTTGGCTAACCTTCTCTGCCTGTTCACCAAGAACAGGGGTGGGCAACTGTGAGGGGGGGTCCATTGCCCCCCAATCCTCCCCCCCTCCACAGGCTGAATTTCCTGGAGCGCTGCATAGCCACTCTAGTCACTCCAATCTTTGTTTTTAATCCCCACAAAGCAGTGATCTTGGCAGTGCAACAAAGATTAAACTTAATTTGTTTGCAAGCTAAGTTAACCCCTTTAGCACAACAAAGCGGCAATGGTGAGCTAAAGGGGTCGTATTTACCTTGCAAACAAAACTACAGCTGACCATTTTGGTACTCCTTAGCTCTGAAAGCTCCCACACACACACATACATACACACACCCTTGCCTAATCAATGAAAGGGAAAGACTGGGAGGAAATTTCTAGTTTGGGTACAACACTTGCACATTCTTTACATGAGCAGAGGCTATTGTTCAGCTTGCTAGGAGGCTTTTAGAGCTGCATTGCCTTGTTAGCTGTGCAATGCCAATAGGCATGTGCTTTGTAAAGAACTGTTTAGTGTTTTAAAGCCTAGGGCAAGAAGGGAAGGGTTGGGCTCATTAGATAAATACACATGATAGCTTTCATCTGGGGAATGGACCAGAGCTGTGCACCCTCAGCTCAGAGGATCCCAACCCTTTGTCTTCCAGGAAGGCTATTCCATGGAGGATTCAAGGAGATGGTTCAGCTGTGGAAAGGCATCAAGAGGCTTCCACCTCCCCAAGTCCCAGCCCACCAGAAAGATCCCAAGGCTGCATGACCATCCTCAGGCTCTGAGGACTTGGGCCATGAAGACAAGGCATTCCACAGCCATCCCCGCTTTGCTGCAGCGTGAGATTGCTAAAACAGGTCAGACTGTTTCAGAGACCAACCCTTAATCAGCAGGCAAGGAGCAACCTGCCTAAAGAGGCTGCAGTATCTCTATGTAAGACCCGTTCTTGCTGTGCTCCTTATATCGGAGCAACATGGAGACAGCACCATCCAGCTTCCAGCCCCACCTGGAGCTTTCCATGGTGCTGATCTCATTCAAAGAACTTCATCAGAATCCACAGCCTGAATTGGTACAGGAATAAGGAAGGAGCTGGGAGCTTCCACTTGGCCGGTTTCCCCTGCAGCTCCTCTAAAGCCCAGGCCTTGTCAAAGCCTTCTTGCCAACTAGGCAATAGTAAATGAAGCTCTGCAGAGCATCTCTGGGGCCAAGGAAAGTAGCAACCAGAGGTGGGTGGCAGCAAGTCCCACTTTCTCTGATGCCACTGTGACTGACTGGAATCGCCTTTGTCTCCCCATTCCTGCCTCTTGCTCCCACCTGCCAACCAGTGCTGTGATGAGTCCATTTCGAAGTGCAGGCACTCATCCTGAGGGCCTCCCATAGCCATGTGCCCAGGGAGAGTCCCAAGACTGAGGCAGCTCTGTCGATCCATTGTGAGAAACCGCTTCTAGCAACCTCATCTCCTCCAGGAGCAGGCCTTTCATGAAGCAAATGGGCCTTAATTTCCCACTCCAGACCAGGCTACCCTCCACCAATTACAACAGAGAACACTGTATTACTTGGAAAAATCCTTGCTCCGCACTCCTATGAGGATTACAGCTAAGCTTGAAAAGGACTGAAAATTATCCAGGGTGGGAGCAAATGAAGTTGGCTCCCCTGCTAAGCAAAATGTGCCAGAAGTTCTGGCTCCACTACACCCTGCTGCCAGCTGAGGGGTCTCTCCTCTCTTCTCCCAGGTGGCCCTTCTCTCCTCCTTTTTGTTCTTCCTTCCCTTGCCTCTCCATCGGCCTCCTCCTCTAGACATTTTAGCCTTTCCTGGCTTGGCTGTTCCTTCCTCCTCCCATCCACACCCCTTCTGCCCATACAGAAGCTTGCTATGCCCCTGCTCTGTCTTTCCAACTCTGTTTCAACTCTGCCTTGCTTGATAAGCTTCAGCATTTCTGCACAACCAGCTGAATTGATGGGCTGTCCTGGCATCTTTCTTGCAGTCGGTGCAGCTGTTTGGAGCATTGAGACACCAGTGAATCCAGATGGTTCCCTGCATACATATTCAAGGGGTTCATATGTTACCCACTTGGTTCCCTCTGGTCAGCTGTTGGGAGAAATGCCCACCACCATCTACCAAATCAGATCAGAACCAGCCTTACACTCACCTGGGGATCTGCCAGTCTAGAAACATCTGGGTTCAGGTAGAACTTGATCCCTTCTGTGGCACCAGGCAGAGTAACTCCTCGAATCAGCAGAATGAGTAACATCAGGTAAGGGAATGTAGCAGTGAAGTAGACCACCTGTAAGCAAGCAGGACATGGCTGTAGCCACAGAGGCCATACAAAATAGAAGAGAGGGCCCATTGGCCTTTGGAACTGCCCATCAACTCACTTGGAGGAGGGCAAAGAACCAACCCATTGAAGATATTCTCACTCCACCTGAAACCTACGAAGGGCAGAGCTGCCTTCTGCTTCTGCAGAGTCCAACCAGTTGCCAAGTAGGGCATAAGTGCAACAGCACCATCCTGCCCATCTTCCCCAGCAAGCAGTGCACACAGGCACACAGCCTCTGAGGCTAGAGGATATATATAGCCATCAAGACGCAGAGCCATTAATAACCTTACCCTCCACGGATCTGTCTGATTCCCCTCCAAAGCTGTTCATGTTACCTCTTAACACAAATCACACTAAGTGAAACTATATTTGACAGGGGAAAGAGATGAGTGCACAAAGCATTCTGAACACCTCCCCTGCACCTGCTGAGAATCCCATGGCTCTCCTATGGCTAAGTACAGACAATCAGTTTTTAGAGAGCGGGAGACCATTCTGAAAACTGTCATCGCCCCAACATACACATCCGTTGCTTTGCACCCTACTGGTTTGGCAGGTTTCTGTGGCACTTCGCCTGTACTTTAGATCAGTCTAAACTACCACACAGTCGGTGGCACAAGGAGCAGCACTGCTGGAGAACCTGTCCATGGCACCTACTGGATGAGGTCCATGAAAGAGAGACATACTGTCACTGCTCCAACGCTCAAGCAGTTTGGAATGGTTCTGACTCGTTTTGCCCCATCCTGATACCATCTTTGTCCTAATAAGGAGCATTCCACTGGGGTGGAGAGTAAGGCAAGAGGAGAAGGGCAAAATAGCAGCATATTTCAACTTAAAATCCATTTAACTTAAAATCCATTCCTAAGAGAGGCATTTTCAAAATTTCAAAATTGAAGGGGGGAGTGAAATGAATTGGAAAGCAAGGAAATGGAGTGGGGCCAGGGAAGGGCCAGATATGAACCTTGGTGAGCCAGTTGTGACTCGTGAACTTGTGGCTGAATGCTCCTGGCCTACTTGATGCAACAAAGGGTTTTAGGAGATTTCTATTCCAAAGGTCAGTGGTTTCCATTGATCTCTCTCTTGCTCTCACTCTCTGTCTGGATTCTGACAACACCATAAGCCCTACTCTAAGGTTGAGTATGAATCAAATATGGATCATTTTGAATTGTGGGTTGTTGTTGAACTGTAGGTTATCATGTTGTCTGAACCCAGCTGTACTAACAAGCCATGGCTTATTATACATGAATAACCCATGAAAAAAACCCACTGTTCTTTGCTGGGTTGTGAACAGCGGGTTATTCACCATGGCTTGCTAACTCAGTGGGAATCACAGCATGAAAACCCATGCTTCAACAACAAACCATGCTTCAACAAGAACCCATACTCAACCCCAAGTGTGGGTTAACATGTCTGAACCCACAGCCTTATCCTCTCCTTGTGGATCCATTTCAGTCCCAGTCAGAGTGGGTTAAGTCTTTTCTTCTCAGAGTATACCTGCTCATGCTCAGCCTCCCTTTGACCCTCATGTCCTTTTTCCTTGTCTTTCTGTTCCTCCTTTGCCCCAGAGAAGCTAACAGGACAGAATTCTATATAATAAAAATTAACCAGTGCAGGATTGCTCCTACTTTGCCAGTGGACTTGACACCTTTCCAGATGCAGAAGTAGCAGATGATCCAGGCAAGGAGGAGGCAAAGTGCCAGCTCCCACCGCACGGTGCCCAGATTATGCAGCCCATCCGTTATTCCCAAGGCTCGCCTTCTGCCAGAATAAATTAAAACATAGGAAGGTTAATGTCCCAGCCTGACTTTTTCCTGCCAACCCCTTTCTGCCCCTTCCTAATTATTTTTACCCGGTCACATTCCACTTAGATCTCAAAATTTCTATTGTACTTTCCTTTGGCCCCCATTTTGTCCCCTGTGCTCAGTTTAATGTCACCAATGAGCTTCTCTTAGCCCAAAGTCACCTTCCTCCCCTCTCACACAGCATGCTTTGCCCCCCCCCCCTTTTAACCCTCTATCTTTCTTGGGGGGGGGCATTCCCTCAAAATTGATAAGAGTTCCTTTGCTCTTGAGTGAACAGCATCTTAGCAGAACGAGCAAATTGCTTCTATCTTGGAGTAAAGGAAAGCACATTAGCAGTTAAGCTATTTGTGGTCCTGAACATCCTTTCCTTTATGGAGGACACACGCAGAACTCCCCTCCCTGTGAGTTCTGGCAAGAATCTGAAAGATCGGAATACATACTCCCAGAATTCGATGACGGGGGAAGAGGCATTTGTTGGCTGTGTCCCATTCTCCAAACTGGATCCATTCAGAATGTCCACACAATAAACTGCAAAGAGAGGGATTGCAGAGTTTGGAAAGACTGTAAAGGTCATCTAAGTCAGCCCCTGCTCAATGCTGGCCGTGTTTGATGGCCAGCCAACCAGGCTCTGCTAATCCTTCTGGGAAGGGAGAGCCCACCACCTTCTGAGACAGTCTGTTCCAAGGAGGAAGAACTTTGAGAGTCCAAGGCCCTCTTGAAACATCTAGCCTTTCTTGGACTGCATTCCTTCCAGTCCAGAGTTTCAAAAGGTTGCAGTAGTTCCTTATCTGAAACCCAGATGACTATGGAATACAGGTTATGATTAAGTATTACCAACAGTAACAATTTGCGATATCAATCTTCCTATATTCACCCTTTGTCAACACTCTGCAGGCAGCCAAATCCAACATTGCATCAACTGCTCTTTCGGGTCCTCTATACAATTCCAAGAAATGGGACTATGGATTTAAAAAAACACTTTAGGAATGGCACTTACAGAGGCTTATACCCTATTAAGAAGAAAGAGCATAGAGGGGAACTATTCTTATTTTTCATCCCACCTCAGAGTAGGAACGGCTGGAGAGCATAAATGACGCGGAAGAAGGAAAGGCTCGGAAGCCCCGGCCAAGCGCTGATTCTTGGTGGCAGGGCTGGGCAATGCTATTTATGGGCCAGTCTGAGAGAGGCTTGTTCACTGGAATGAATGAGCAGGACTGCCCCTAAGTGCCGCAGAACTAATTTAACACATTCTGAAACAAGTGAAATAATATGCATTATCTTCTAACAAGGCAAGAGTGTGTTGTTCTCCCACCGACCCCAAAACCCCCCACTTACGTGATTAAAATGGCCAGCATCTTGTAGGGAACCCCTTTACACAAATGTTTTACACCCCACACTCATAACATGATTTTATTTAGGTCCAGAGAAAAGAGGGCAGAGAGTTCCAGCCTCCTTGGAGGCCAGGTGTGAATGTCATGGCCACCAATTCAGCTGCTGCCCAGAGCCGGCCCTGCCATTAGGCAGAGTGAGGCGGGCTCCTTGAACAGCAGGTGTGTGGTGCTTTAAAGCAGGGAGGAGCCCCTGCCGGGGCTTAGGGGGCAACCCGCACCCCTGGAAGCCATCAGGGACCACACGCCCCCTGCTGGATTTTCCACATTGCTCCAAGAGCAACAATCCCAAAGCAAGCAAGGTGCACGGGCAGTGGAATTGTGCTTCTGGTAGCTCCCAGGAGTATAATTTTCCTTGCAAAGTAAGCAGCAGAGCAGTAAATATGGCGAGCGAAAATGACAGGTCACAGCAACAGATAAGGAGGCCGCAAGCAGTTCACATATTGCCCACTACTGCTTTAAATGATCAAGCACTGTGTGTGTGCGCGTGTGTGCGCACGCGCATATGAGGTTGTGTGTGTGTGTCGATGCATGCAAAGTCAGATTTAGATTGTACATCCTGGCTGTCAACATATTTGAGCCAGGTACATAGCAAAGTAAGAAGAACCACAGCTACACTTTTGCAGAAAGCCGTTCATGAATCATGAGGCTGCACCTTGCCCTGTTGGTCATACCTGAGTTCCAGGGGTTGTTGCAGTGGGACCAGGGCAGAACAGCTGCAAAGGAGTTAAAGAGGTAAAACAGGGCCCATGCTAAAATGACAATGTAGTAGATATTCAGATAGGATTCAATGACTTGTGAGGCATATCCGATTCCTGCATGGAAGAGAGGGAGAGAGAGAAAGGCCAGGTTAAGGCTAACTGCAAAACAGCCACCAAAGGAGTGGCGATCGGAAAAGAACTGGATCAGTCTGTCGCTCTTATTCAGCCTTCCCCAACCTTGGCAAGGCCTGAAATGTGGGGACAGGGGGGTTGGCCTGCGACTCCCACCTTTCTCAGATTAAAAAATGCTTCCAAAAATGCCTATGTCAGGGGAAAATAATATAAAAAATGCATTTCTTGCAAAAGGGAAATTCTCGCAAAAGGAATGTGAATATTAGGCAAAACTGTGTGCAAAATGCATCTATTAAAAATACACACAGGTTTAAAAAGTGATGTGGAAATCAGATGGAATGAAGTTAAGACTGGAAAAACATAAATCTGACAGAAACCAAAACTGCCAGATTCACTCGTCTCTGAGAGAGGGTGAGCTTCAAAAAAACCTAAAACAAAACAAAATCAACTAAGCAAACAAAAACCCCCTTCTCATCTTAGCCCTAAGTCCATCTTCCATGTTAGACTACAGCCAACATGTCTGCATTTGAGAGAGGAAGTGGTGGAAAGCCAGTGGGCAAAAGCCAGTGCAGTTTAATGGTTACAGTGCTGGACTGGCATTCAGGAGATCCAGGTTCTGGTCCCCAACTGGCCACAAAACACGGTACGTGATTTTGGGCCAGTCACTGACTCTCGGCATACCCTACCTCACAGGGCTGTTTTGAGAATAAAACAGGGAGGGGGGTTGCAGAAGCTGCCTTGTGTGCCTTACAGGAAAGACAGCAGGATATAGATGTCATGAATAACCAACGAAAAAAGCTTGCCTCTGGTCATCTCACTGAGGTAAAAGCTATCCGTGACTCTTGGCTGGAGGGCTACATGTTAGCTGCAGTGTTAGAGGCGATATGGCTCTGGATGCCAGTTGCTAGGAGAAGAACGGGAGGGTACCATTGCAATCATGACCTGCCGGTGTGTTTTCCATGGGCATCTTGCTATTTCATAGGTATTTCATGAGCGCAGCCGCCAGGAGTCAGAGGTCAGACTAGATGGCCCGGGAGGATTCTTCTGACTCGCTTTGTTCTATGTTTCTGTCAGCATGGCCACTGTGGGGAGGGAATGTCAGACCACCTTGGACTGCCATCTCTCATGCTGTCCTGCAGTTTGGCTATGGGCCATTCTCCTTGTCAGACTGACACCCATCCTGACCCACTGGGCCAGGACTGTGCAGTCCAAACAGGGGAAAATAGATACAGATACTGCAAAAAAATGCCAGGCACCTCGCATGAATCCCACTCAATTCTGCTTGTTCCAGCTCTGTCTATGCAGAGCTCCTCCTGGCCAGGAGCAGAAAAGTTACCCTGTGTGACTAGGATATGCAGAATCAGTACCTCGGAGCAGCAGACTGAGCACAGATGATCCCGCACTCTTTGCAAAAGGTTTTGATATTCAAGGCGGCTGCTCAGTTGCTGCTGCTGCTCGGCCATTGCTAAAAATTAGGGCTGCCTTCAGAAATCGACCCCTGTCCAGGTTTCTCTGGGTTATCTTCTTTGTCATAATCCTGATCTGGCTTTAGTGCTGAGATCTGGTTATCCCTGAGAATGACTGACATTGTTCTCTTCCCGGTTTCAGCTTCAGCTCCGCGCTGTCCTTTCTGTGCTCCTCAGCAGCCCACGTCACACTCCAGCTTTACGCATGCCTCGGGCGACCTCCAGTTTATTCTGTTTTTGTGTTGAGTTGCTTCCAGCCACTACTTTGGCTCCATCTTTTGGCCGTGTGCAGAGTACTAGCTCTGCATCTGACCTCTGCTCCTGGGATGACGCATACTTTTGACTTGGACTGGAAGTCTGGAACAGGTACGGTGTGGGCCATCTGGCTTTGAGCCATGCTCTGTCACTGAGAAGCATGGGGGGAATTAGATCGAAAAGAACATGGAGTGCTGGGTGGAAAGTTACCGTGGCTTTCCATGTATGACCAGCGTACCTTCAAAGATAGGGCAGATCTTTCTCCAGGCAGTGACCCCACCCTGACTGGTGTATTGCCCAAGGGCCGTCTCCAGGAGGAAGACAGGAATCCCACAAACAAAGAGGAAGATGAGATACGGGATGAAGAAGGCACCTGCGGGGAGCGGGGGGAGAGAAAGGGGACAGAGATAAAACACATGCATTTCTTAAATCTGGCTCTGTCTAAAATAAAAGTGAGGAAGCACTCTGATGCCCAGCTAAGGTGACAGGTACGTGCTGATTGCTACCCGCACACCACACACAAATAAATCCCTTCATCAGAGCCACTGCAGATGTGGGTGGGGGGAGGCAGTGGAGAATAGGGCTTAGTGAGTACCCTCTGCCAGTCACTTTTCCCCTTGGTGGGCTTCGAAACACAGGTTTGCCCCCACAAATGTACATCCTGAATCTCGCAGGTGGGAGAAGTAGCTCAGAGAGCCAGTGTGGTGTGTCATGAGAGTGCTGGACTGGGGACCCAGGAGATCTGGGTTCCAGTCCCCACTTAACCATGAAGCTCACTGAGTAACTTTGGGCCATCCCAGACTCTCAGCCCAGCCTACCTTGCAGGGTTGTTATGGGGATAAAACAGAGAGGAGTGGGAGGATTGCAGTTGTTGCTATGAGGATAAAATGGAGTTCTATAAGCCACCTTGAATTCCTCACAGGAGGAAGAAAGAGGGATATAAATGCAATTTAATAAATAATACCAATGAGGGGAGAGGCTCATCACATCTCAGCCAAGTCCAGCCTGCATGCCCCACTGGACCTGAAGAACTTTTCTAAGATCGGCCTTGGCATCAGTTTGCATGAAGGAGGTAGCTAAGCTCCTAAGCACTTTGCAGAACATGTTCCTGCTGAACAGAAGCTCCTGATGCTCTGTTCAAATGCTCCGAAAGACCCCAGTGCAATGCGTTGGATGGGGGGATGTCCAGGAACACCATTCAGAAGCTTCAATGAGTGCAGAATATGGTGACCAAGCTCTCAATCAGCTCCACCTGATTCCTGCACATCATTTGCCTTCTGCAAGAAGCTCATGGGGCTGCCTGTCTACTTTGGAGCTCAGGTGCAGGTGCTAAGACTTCCTTCTAAAGCCATAAATGGCTTGAGACCTAAGGATATGGAGGACCTACCCATGTGTTGGTATCTTCTTTTGAGGCTTATCTTTTGGTGCCCCTGGTTCTCAGACATTCACTTTCTCCCTTTTACAGCTACACTGCCCACTATAGGATGCTTTTACTAAAGGGACCAACCCGGCTCCTACATTACAATCTTACCAGGGTTGGAGAAAGACACTTCCCAGGTATTTTCATCTACTGTTCCTTACTGCTTTGCTTACGGATTGCAATGTATAGTTGCTGATTCCAGCGTTCTTGTGACCTGATTTTAAACTGTACACCTTTCTAAAACTCAAATATAGTAACAAACAATATGTAAATGTTAGGAAGGGAGGGAGCCGATGTTACACTTTGCTTGTATCATATTGGCTGGGTTTCTATCAAGAGCCACTGCGAGTAGGTGATTATAGTGTCCAAACAGGACTTGGGAGATCTGAGTTCTAGTCCCCACTTGGCCCAAAGCTCACTGGGAGACTTCAAACCAGTCACTGACTCCCAGCCTGGCCTACCTCGCAAGGTTGTTATGGGGATAAAATGGAGAGGAATGGGGGGATTATGCAAAGTGCCTTAGGAAAAATTGCCTTCAGGAAAAAAGGCAAGATATAACTAGAATGAATGAATGAGTGAGAGACAAGAGCAGCAGTCATTTTTCATATCCATACCCTATTCTGCTGCCAATAATGAGCAAAAATGAAAAAAAACAGGCTGCATGAGACTCAAATGAAAGAAGATGCAGACAGGTTAGTGAGGCAGCAGCAGGGGAAAAAAGTGCAGGGGGGTGTCTCAAAATAAAACTGTCAGTATCATCATGTCTCTGTGTTATTGTGAGCTCACACCCCAATTCTCTGAGTGAGAACTCCTGGAGTGCAGGCAATTTATCCAGCTCCGGGCTGCTTGGGCTCTGGTCACCGGAAACTCTTCATGCTCTTGTGATAAGTGGCTTATTTATTTACACCATGTATAAGCTGTGCATGGGAGATGGGCAGGCTCATGGCAGTAACACTTCTGCTCGCCTATTAAGTTTCTGCACAATCACCAGCACGACGGTACTTGTGCAGAGAGAAGCTCCGTGCTCTGAGCTTCTCGTTCAGTCCTGCTCCTCGAACTCTTGCCCGCCCGTTTGCATCCCGCCTCCACACAGACCTCTGCCTGAGCACGTTAATTAGAGGAGGGCCTGAAGAGGCATTCCTCCTCCTGTGTGCTGCCCATAAAGAGCAGGATAGCATCCATCTCCATCATTTTACATTTATACTCTACCTTTCTTCCTCTTATTTATTTAAAGATTCTGTAAATCGTTCTTTAGCGAACACTCTCAGAATGGTGCACAGCAACTGAAACGGCATAAAAAATGCTTGCATGGAACCCAAGGTTTTGGATTCAACTGGTTTAGGCCTCCCATTGATCCTGATTTATTTTGTATTGCATTGTATTTTACAATCAGAGTCAGCAGGGATGAGGAACATGTGCTCTCCAGATGTTGTTGGACTACAACTCCCATTGAGTCCAACCCAATGGGAAATGTGGATCAGGACATATGGAGGACATTTAATTGGGGAATGTTTGATTAGATGGGCATTTGAACTAAATGGACCATTCATCTAAATCCCTTTGACTCTTCTCATATCATCTTATCTCATCAATGTGTCTAGTAGACAGATTGCTTCTTAAGTCCAAAAAGGTTTATTTGAAGCAAAATTGCACAAAGCAAAAGCAGCCCACAAGTAATGTTTGCTTAAAATCAGATGTTTGAGGAACATTTTTTGCTACTTGCCCAAGACTACAGCCTACCCCCCAAATATGGGCAACTCAGGTTTGTTTTTGTTTTTTCCCTTCTTCTAGACACCTTACAAGCATCACCTTCTTGCCGCATTTCAGGAACCACTTCTCTTGGCTCCAGCCAAAGTAAAGTGGAGTGCAGAAGAGCTGATCAGAAATCCACATGGATTTTTCAGGGAAGACGTCTGGCCCATGGATCCTCAAACTGTGCCATGCTCATGGATCATTCTTGAACATTTCACATGAATTTTGAATTCTGGTGTTATTTCCTTCTGAAATTCCCTCCAAGATAACAACTAAAAGTAACAGTTTTCTTCTTTTGAAGGCAAGCATTGACCCAGATCACACATAACTATCTCAGTTCAATAAATCACAGTATATTGAACCATAGACAAGAATTATGCCTACACATTCCATTTTCTCCTTCCCTCTCTGTTCCCTCTTGCACCTTAATTTAGTACTTCAAAGAATTCTTAAGTAACAGTTTCCTAATACAGCTAAACTGGAAAACTGATTTGAGCCCTGGCTACAAACCTGGATTGCATACTATGCTTTGATTCTGGCTTGCAAGCCAAGATTTAGTCAGAGTTTAAACCACATTTTCCTGGTTCAACCACAGCAGGAAACTGTGGAGAGAGAGAGAGAGAGAATGAGAAAGGGAGCACATCAGCATAATGCTGGGCTTGGGTCTGCTAAAGCGCACAGATTATTGGACTGAATTGGGCCATTGGGTCCATAGAACTGAATTAGAAGTCAGAGTGCTCCACGGATCTGGAGGCATACAGCTGGCAGAACCTGCATTCCACATGTTACTTCTTGTGGCTTTTCCCAGTAGAGGACGAAGCAACCAGTCAACTGTCTTATTGGCAAGTCTAATAGCTTATGAAATCCCACTGTGTAAAATAGAAAGGAAACATGTGTTTTCTACTCTTTGGTAACCCAGCGCTTTCTGGAGGTACTTACAGCTGTTTCTAATAGTCAAGTCCTGTCTCCTGTGAGAACCTGATTTTGCCCTCTAGGGTCATTTCTGTACTGCCAGCAACAATAATTCTAACTGAGGTTCATTCCCGTGACAGATAATTAACTGTAGAACCTCAACCATGAGTGATTTCCCCCTGGTCAGAGTGCCAGTCACGTTAAAACAATCAGGAGTCACATCTTTCTATTTTCTTGGCACTGATTTAACTATATCTGATGGAGTACCTGAAGCCAAAGTATCTTCGTTTATGCCCATACCAACTTAGTAAGGACAGTCTGCATACATCAGCTGCACTAAGCTTTCTCCATGTCGGTCTTTCCAAAGCATCAGCTTAGAGCAAACAGATGTGTAATTGCTACCAGGAATCTGTAGCAGTTTGTACAAATTCCAGGAATTTGTAGCAATTTGTACAAACTCCTTTCTTACTAGGAATTTGTAAAAAGCTTCTGGATCTTTCCCAGCATCCCAGAACAATATTTTTCCTGGGAAAATGTGATTTCCCCACTGCACCGGCTAGTGTACCTTTAGAAGTGCGCATCTGTGTGGAATGCAACTGCACTTGTGTTATGGAAAAGGTTCTTACCAATCGTTACTTTTGTCAAACAGATTCAATTGACATAGTGCATCTTCCCATTTCCCTTGGTTTGGTACCATTCCGCTGATGTTTGTTGGCGTGCTTTAAGCCCTGCCGTTACACTGCAAGCCAGTGCGGCACAACGATTAGACTGGAACTTGGAAGGATGGTGCTCTAGTCCCCACACAGCCACAGTGGAAGGTGCTGGGCCGGTCATGGGTCCTACCTTGCAGGGCAGTTGTGAAAATAAAACAGAGAGGAGGAGGGGGAGGATAATGAAAGCTGTCTTGGGTGCTTTGCAGAAGGATGACAGGATATAATAGCTAAATAAAAACTAATCATAAATAATAATTGCTCATGATACATGTTTTTGTGTATTTGAGTGTATGAATTTTCATTTAAAGTGAAGGTGTTTCTTTTATTATTCTTCTATTATTAATATTATATTACTGTCATTAGTCTATCTTCCTATTTATTATTATGATTCTATTATTCACTGGTATGCATAAGCATGCAATTTTATTTTTATTTTTGTACAAGACTATTAGCCCCACAGTCCATTGACTGGCTATGTTTACACCTACCTACCGCAAAGCACTTGGGCAATCCCTACCGGCAGCTGGTTCCTGCTGCAGCCACTACCAGAGCCTCCCCCACATCTATGCCTTCCAACACGTTTCCTGAATTCTTTGGGAACTGGGTGGTTGCCTTGCGTAGCATTCAAGAACAAGCATTTATTTTGCCCTTGCTGAGGAAAAAACAGTCTCTCTTGTTCATTGTCTGACCACAAGAGAGACAGGCAACACCAGCAAGTCATTTTATATTTTATAAGGCTCTTTACTGTAGGTGCACACTAGCGATATAGAGTGAGCCCGTCTCCAGTCGGGACCAGCTGCCACACTCACCATGCACAGCAAATGCATACATTTAGCTTTATGTAATGAGAAGTAACAGAAAACATCATCGCAGGAAACATTACTCAATAAAAGCAGGACACGTCCATCAAAAAGAGAAAATATAATCAGTGAGAAACAATGGGTTACTTTTTGTACATGGTTGTTCTGACCTACACTTCCTTTTAGGACGTTTGGTGCCAAAAACATCTGCTTCCAAGCTTATCTTTACAAATTCTGACCTTCTTAGCAGAGGATGAGTTTATACTTTTGACCCGCTTGTGTCCCTCTGATAGAGCGCTAAATAGCAGTACCTTGTAGTCTGGTCATCGGGGAAAAAATTATATCCTTCACCCTCAAAATAAATGTGCCTGTTATTTGAGAGTACCAAGAGAGAAGCTATGCAAAGACTCCTGTATATATTTATATTTGTATTTATTGCCTGCAGGGGCCAAGGATCTTGACCGTCATCTGTTGTACTGCTCATTTGGTGCTCCCCCTCAACCAACAATTCTGGCACAGATTCAGGCAGGGCAGCCTGTAGGAGGCAGTTCTGTTCTTGCTGAGAGGAAGCCCAAGTGCAGAGGGTGAGAAATCAGTCCGCTGCACAAAATTTGATGACTACATGTGCTCTTATCCAACAGTTTATCAGCTGGGCTGGCCCATCTGATGATTTTATGATTAGGGCATTCATCTGTTGTAAATTTTATAGCCAGTTTTATGTTTTAATCTGTATATTGCATATGATTTGCCATGTTGCAAGCTTAACATTTGTTTCTGGTCTGTTGCGTAATGACCAATAGTCTCCAGGAAATAAACGACCCTAGAAAAATCATGTATCTTGACTGCTGGCCACTCACCGCCTCCATTCTTGTAACAGAGATAAGGGAATCGCCAAACATTGCCCAAGCCAATGATCTCTCCAGCCACGGACAGCACAAATTCCACTTTGTTGGTCCACTGTCCTCTGTCCTGAAGCTCCTCCTCCTGCTGCTTGTGCTTTTCTTCTGGCACAATCGCGCTCCCGTTGCACTCCATGTCCCAAGTTCCTTTGCTTCCCATCACTCTGGAGGGAAAAAGACACCATGAGAAGAAGGATCACCAGGCATGAGAAGCTGCGCTACTTCGTTGCTGTAAAATGTTCAATAAGATCATGCTGCATGAAGGAATGCTGGCGGGGGGGGGGGGGGGGGAAACAACAATCTGTTGTGCAAACATACACACAACAGTGGGCTTCCTGCCATCTACACAATGGTAATGCTCAAATGTTTCATTCGGGCCAAATACCACAACACACAGGGTTGGGTTCAGCTGGATAAACGGTACTGGTGAAAGCAGACTTTCCCACCCAGTCCTATCCACTCCAGCCTCCAGAAAATACCAGTTAGAGAGTCAGCATCCATGCCAGAAGTCTGCAGGCAGATCTTCTGAACTGAAGCAGAATGTTCTTCTGCAAGTAAAGCTCCTCCTCTTATGGAAGGACTTTCACAGAAGGCAGATCCTGAATCAAGCCAAATGTGATGTATATTTAGAACTGGACGTAAGACATTCCCAGATTTTGACCTAGGGCCAAAATCTGGAACATCAGCCATTCAAATCCTAAAGGATTGGAATCGAGGAACGTCAAAATGCCCAAAATACCAATGCGTGCAATCAAGCAAAAGCTTGGATCACAGCAACTTCTCCCCTGCCCCCACGCGCAGGAGAACCAAAGACATTCTGCTGCTTGAGGTGAAACAGCAAACGGCTCCTCCTCCCCGCCAAGTCAAGGTGCACAGCATGCAAGGGCAGGCAAGTCCTCTTGGCACCTGAGGCAGAAAATCCCGCAAAGCATCTTGCCTCTCCTCACCCCAGCAATACAAAATACCAGCCTAATAAGTGAACCAGTTAACCATTGCCTTCGCACGCCCCCCAAGCTCAGCTCCTTGTAGCAGCCACCGTACTCCGTCTCGTAGGACAAGCTCCGCCCTGCCCTACTTCCCATCCGGCTCCTTGACACCCTCCCAGGGCTCAACCTCCTCACTGCTCTGACCCAAACCCCACGTTTTGGCCTCCATTTGTAAGTGGAATCCCTTCCCCAGGTAGCCAGAATACTTGCGGTCTGTCAGAGACCCCAGAGCCTGCTCTTCCCCCTCGTCCTTTCATTGATGGACTTCCAGCTGCTGTGCTGAGGATCCGCTTTGCCCCTCCCATCCTCTGCGACCCTTAGCTGGGTGCAAGAGTCCCGCAGCCCTGCCATCTGGCTCCACAGCCAAGCCAAGCACTTGTTCAGCACAGACACCGCCTCCTCCTCCTCCATTTCATCAGCGTCAGAAGTTCCACAGGCTGTCGAGTGAACGGAAGCCGGCGCTTTGTTACCGAACCTGCCTTGAACCATCACAGGCTTCACATGTTCCAACTCTGCAACTGCCAAATGCAGCTCCTCAAGCATAATGAGCTTTTGGACACACTTATTAGCAATATTGTTATGAGCTGACAGTGGAAGATTTAGCTTCAGTGTATGCGTTCATTAGGCATGACAACCACACAAATCTACATAGCCAACCTGTTTTAATTGCCATTTACGTAATGTGATGGTGCTAACAAAATACTTCTAAGCCCTAAAGTGATAACAGGAAAATCACAATCCCTGGAATGCTGAACCGGAGTGTTTGTGGCTTGTTTGTGTATTGTAATTTGCTTACACATACTATCTGTTGCCCACTACACTCTCAAACATTGCCGCATACTTAAGTTCCGTGCTCGACTCTTTAGTTTTCTATAGAATTAAGGGTGGTTTTTGTTTGTTTTAAGGACTGGATATCAGGCTGGCAACCTCCACGAAGGACTGGAGGTAGTCTAGTGAGCCTGCACAGAGAAACAAGGTGCTAAGATTTAGGAGCCAGCTGTTTAAATAAACCAAGACGAGACCACAGTGGCTCTAAGTCATCTGATCACTGTTGGGTGAAGACCCCCTGACCAGCTGCAGGGCTACAGAGTTTGCCCTCAGCTTTGCAAGCTCGCCTGGTATGCACGGAGTAAGATTGCTAGACCTTCCTGCAAAGCCTCCAGCTCAATACCCAGAGACTGAACCAAGATTGTGGAATGGGGAAGAGATACTGAGGCAAGAAGCAATGAAAAGGAGTCAGAGAACCCCTAACAGTAATGGTCATTGTCTGTTGTATCCCCAACCATAAGGACTAGCAACATTCTCTTATTTTTTTAACTAAAGCTGATACTATCAGAGTGATATTTGTACGCTACACAGTAAGCAGGAAACAATCCCTGCCTCAAGATACAAATAAATCAAATCAAATCAAATAATGAATATAAGACTGGGGGAAGCTCATACCTGTTATATGCAAGGATTCCTAAGCAGGGAGGCATAGCTACCAGCCTTAACATAGCACAATGTCTGGAAAAATTGAGCCTATTAAGTTCCTAAGAGCACTGTCCCATATGAAACTGGGAAGACTAGCAGAAGAAGAGAATGCGAACGACCAGCTGTGGGTTTGTTCCACTGTGAACACCATCAAGTTACCTGCCGTGCCAGCTGCAGGATTCTCTAGGTCCCTTGAGCAAGACATGGTCAATGGGATACCTTGTTCCCACCACCACAAGCAGCAGCTGCTCTTGCTGCCCTCCATTTTCTCATCAGCTGCTTGCTAGGCAAAGAGGTGATGGGTGTGGAGGCAGTGACATCAGCTACGTCTCCTCCTCCTGGCCAAAGCAAGAGCCGGGAGAGCGATGAGGTAAAGGAGGTGAAGAGAAGGCATGCGGCCAGGGAATTTTGCCACTGGGACCCTGCTGGGATCTGGGCCCTCGGTGGGTGCCCAATTATGCCAACTCTGGACGCCAGCTCTGGGTGTCTGGGGAGTTACAGAGATGCATTCTCAAAAGAAGGGTATGCCAGGCAGTGGCCCAGGGGCCTCAGAGACAAGGCATTTCAGTCCTAGTGTCGACATATCAAAGCAAACCGAAACCTTTTCATGCACAGGAATTAAGCACCCATTCAAGGATAATTACCAATTCATTCATTAAATTATCTCAGATAATAACTGAAAACTCATTTAAACATGAATCATGAGCTGAAGCCACAATAAGCATACAGCAAAAGGATCTAGATCCCAAAGCTCACAGACTGGACTTAAAACCTGCTGGCGGGGGGCATCAGGCAGAAACTTCAGAGTTCTGCAGATCTGCTGTAACAGAGATCCCTGATTACTTGCAGTGTACCTCAAGCACATACTTAAACTAAACCCAAATTTGGAAAAGAACAGTAAAGGTAATTTATAGATCTATATTGGCAAGGGCCACTCTGCAGGCCCAAGGGTTGCAAGACTTCACTTGTAAGCCAAAAATACAGGGTAGCTTCTATTCAGGACCAGCACAGACTCAGGTTTTAAGTCTTACAGGGCAGCCTCTCTCAGAAACAGACTCATCCTACAATTGACAGTTCAGTTTTTCATTTCAGTTTAAATGAACAAAACCAAATCAGAGTGAAAAAAGTATACACTGGATGCAAAATCAGCCATGCTTGTCTTATTGGAGGTGGGGTGTTATTTATTTATTTAGCTTACATACCACTGCATAGCCCACTGAGATCAAACTATATTCCTCCCTTAATCACCTGGCAGTTTGATATCACCTCCAACAAGTCATCATCTATTATCTCCTCCCCTCATCTGAAAATCTCCTTTCCCAGCAGGGTCAACTTACCTAGGTCTTCACTCCTTGAAAGTTAGCACGTACCAGAAACTGAGCCACGTCCTTTATTGCTTTTTAAATGAGGCCCTGTAATCTGACTGGCTGCATTCAGCCAATGGGGCAGCACACCAGACCCAGAGTCATGAAAGTAAGGGCACCGGCAGGCAGCCACAGAGGCAAAGCGGATGGTAAAAAGGAAGAGTTTCAGCTCACACACAAGTTAAGCATTTGCATGAGTTTAGCAACAGAGTAAGGAAGGCAAGGTAGTTGACTCTTCCTGTCTTCTAATATATAATAGAAATAAATAGCTGTAGATACATTTCTCATTTTCTCCTAGTAAATAACTTAGTTTTCCCGTCAAACATAACTTTGAGCTCAGTCAAAGCAATAAAAAAAGCTAGTTATGAAGGCAGAAAGCCAGCTGGGGTATGGAGGCTCCACTGAATGCCACATGTATCAGTTACACCATTCCCTTCTCAAGTTAAAGCTACACAGAAAGAGTTAAGCACCTCTGCCAGAGACATAGTCAATGCATCTTTAAAAGCCTGTAATGGAAAGTCTGGTTTCTCCTCTGATACTTGCTTGGTGTGGATTAGTCCCAATGGTTGTGGAACTTATTTTGTTCCATTGTGTGTCTGTGCTGCAGAGAGCGTACAGCTGAATGAGCTGTTCTGCTTTGCTACAAGAAAGTTATGTCTTTTATGTGACGGCTGTAATAAACAGGAAGCTATTTATAAATCCGACTCTTCTCTGGAGAGTTCTGACCTGAAAGCAGAACCATTGAGACATAGAATCCCAAGTAAATCTCTTACACACATGCACACACGGCCCAGAGCCACAGACAAAGAGAGAATTATCATAACCCTCGAGAAAAACCACCAGTCAGGGTAGTCAACCTTGGGTGTTTGCCAGACTGTAGCATAAGCTGGCTTCTTATATTTAATAAAAACTAAGCAAGAGGAAAAGGCTCAATGGATCTATTTATCCAATGTCAGTCTCCAATGACTATGAAATTGATGCATTTTCAAACACGTGGCATAATTCAGCATGACATTGGCGAAGTACTCTCAAGTCATATGTCCAGTATGATTAAATTGTGAATGGTGTGTGTGCGTAAGTTTCACCAATATCCTTTTATTCTGGGATGCTTCCTGGAATGGGTATAGAACAGGTCCTCTGAGGTTCCTGAGCAGGATCAGTATTTGGCCTGACAAAGTGGACAAGGCAGAATTATCATCCACCCAAGACCTGACTTATATACTTGGGAGAATTCTCCTGTATTACAGCTCTTTGGTGACAGCAGTATTTTGCAGCTTGGGAGTGCTCCTCGACCCAGAGCTGTCATTAGAAGCTCAAGTAACAGCGGTGGCGAGGAGCGCC